ACGCGGGAGCCAAGTTGTATGTCGCACAGAAGTTCCTCGAACAGGAGGCCGGCGGCAAGGGTACAACACAAGTGATCAAGCGCATCTGCGGCATGGTCGTTCGGTCCTGGATCGTTTCCCGGGAGTGACCAGCGGGGTGATTCATTCTTTCTGATGCGAGCAATTTGCGATCTGTCATATGAAAAGCGCGTCGGTACGCTGCGTACCGATTCACCATGTTCAACTAGACTTTCTGTCTGGTCATTGAGGGAGTTCCCGCCAACAGTAGTCGCGGGTGGATAGACCTCACACCTGCCAGGCGGGTTGGACATGGGTAGAGAAGTCACACCTGGGCCCGGAGTTACGCTTGGGATTGAGTTTTTTTACTTTTTGTGATTTTGGTAGCAGAAGGACGGGCAGTTCACGGCGTTTACGGCTGCATTACCTGAACAGGTGTCATAATTGCTTCGTGATATTGCTTTTGCCTGTGGAGAGGGGACTGTATGGGTTGGCGCTAGTGCCTAGACACTTCGTCTGAAGACAATGAAATAATGAGACCATTGTACATACACAAAAAAGCAGTCCGATTCTTAACCTCTATTAACGTTTCTATGCCGTATATACAATCTTGCAGCTTATCGTTTAAAGGTCTGCCTGCTCAGGAACGGGACTCTTCAACTTGCCCGTCTCCAAAGCGGAGCGAATATTGCCGATCGTCCATTCCTCCATCGCCGTTTGTGTCTGCAGTGAAAGACTCTGTTAGCCACTTTACTCTCAAACTAACAGACAGAAAAAGGAAAGGCAGAAACTCACCTCGACCGTCCAAGTCCCCATATGCGGCACAAGCACACAGTTGGGATTCCGCAACAAACCGGGATGCACCGCCGGCTCCTCCTCGAAGACATCCAACCCCGCGGAAAACACCTTCCCGGAGTCCAACGCCTGCACCAGCGCCTCCTCATCCATGACCGCGCCGCGCGCCGTGTTGACCACCACGACGCCATCCTTCATCTTGGCGAACTCGGCATGGCTGATGATGTGCCTCGTCTTCGGGTTGAGGGGCAGATTCAACGACAGGACGTCACTTCGCGCGAGCAGCTCGTCGAAGCTCACGTACTCCGCCCCGTCGGCCTGCTCGGCGCCCAGCGCGCGCCGGTTGTGGTAGATGACGCGCATCCCGAACGCCTCGGCCTTCCGCTTCAGGTTCCGCCCGATCCCGCCCATCCCCAGGATGCCCAGCGTCTTGCCCTGCGGGTCGTGGCCCAGCGCTGGCAGGGTGCTGCCGGGCTTGCCCCGGAAGTCCCCGGTGCGGAGGTTCTGCATGCCCGCGTTGAAGTTGCGGAGCGCGCCCAGGATCAGGAACATGTTGACGTCGGCGGTGGCGTTGTCCGGTGCTGTGGGCACGTTGGAGACCCGAATGGGTTGGGGAGCGCGGGATGTGCAGGCTGGGATCGAGATTTGGTCGTAGCCCGCTCCTATTCTGGGTATTAGTTTGGGGGAGGGGTTGGGGTGGTGGTAAGGGGAGGAAAGGCTGGGGCTAGGCGCAAGCACGCACCGCAATGAGCAATCCACACCAATGACGAGGGCAGCACGTCGATTATCTCCTGGTCGAAGAGGCCGGTGATGTTGATGGATCCCAGGGTGCGGTAGGCCGCGACGACGCCGTCGTACTTCCCGGACTTGCATTCTTGGATGAATTCCTCGCGGTTGGTGGCGGTCGTTTCGAGGAGGTCGGCGATGTCGCTGAGGCCCGTCCAGGTGGCGTATGCGCTGGGATGGGGTTAGTGGTGGTGGCTGGTCACTTGGTTTGCTGGTAAAGGAGGGGGGACGCACTGGTCGATCTTTCCGATCAGCAGGACCTTGGGTTTGGGGTTGGTTGAGCCCATTGTTGCGGTGTTGTGCGGGTTGTACTGTACTGTACTACGAGCTGGTGAGATGGTGTCGATTGAGCTATGGTATAAGGTAAGGTGATGAGGGGTAGTTCAAAACATGCCTTGAGAATTGCTGCCCTGTGTGCAGCTGGAAAGAAAGTGGGGTAGACAAGAGATTTATAGATGGCCGACACACGGAATGCAATACCCCGAACGGAAAAGAGTTTCGGGTGTAGACCGTGCAGAAGATCGATAGCACTGCCTGACGGTGCAAGTGATAGGGAAATTCGATAACGCGAGCTCTGAAGGTCGACCCCACGTGCCCCGCGCGCCCTTCGCACCTGCAGTGACTTATCGCTCGGCTTCCTTTCCGAGTGGTTCCTGTCCTTGATTGGTGGAAGATTGGTCTTGATAGGGCGTCTCCTGCCAGCTCTCGGCCGACTCGCTTATTCGGTTGGTATATACTGTAGTTACTGTCTGGGGGTGGCTAGGAGTAGCTTATTCACTGCTGGTCTGGGTGAATAGATCCTGCATTTTCTTGAGGAGGATGTTGATTGACGGTGTGAATTGTTGCTAGATGGGGTATTCACCGGGCAGGAAGCTGCGCTTTCATTGAAGGCTGCAGCTACACAGCTGGATCTTCAATACTTAAGCTCCTCCGGTTTCTTCTTCCTCTTCCTCTCCTTCCTCTTCCGCTTCTCCTCTGTATCCAACTTCCTTACACACTGAGTCTGTACTTCTTCTCTCATTCTTCTTCTTCCATCTTCCATCTTCCACCTTCCATCTTCAAGAGTCAATATGAGAAGTCAGGCTTGTACTTGGTATCCTTCAAATACATCAAACGTTGGCTCATGTTCCCCTATTCTCAAGCCCACATCGTCGAAGCCAAATCAGAAGTAGTCCTTGGCAATCTATCTTCTCTTTCCTGAAGCTCAATCATACATTCATAACCAGGCATTCAGAACTTGATCTCTACCGAGATTGGAGACGTTATCTCTAAACTGTGTACGACTTCATCGTGCTTGTTCTTCCTGCCACAATTTTGAGACAGCAAGGCTCTCAAAGCATTGATCTCCGGGCCAAATCTCCCGTCATGGAATCAGACTTGCTAAACATCACAGGGCATCCATTTTTAAGCCATAGTACCGAAATACCTGACTCTGGTGTCAACCCAACAGAAACAGCATCTCTGGGGCCCGTGCGCCCACGCAAACATCATTATCACCTTCATTTTCACACTTCTGCTCTTGTTATCTTTCTCGATGGGCATTCCCTATACTTCAATTCAGACTGCAATGGCTTCAGCTCAGCCATTCCGCCTTACTTTCATTGGAGAGCTCTTATGAATAAATCAACAAATCACGCGGCATCCGGCACAATGGGGGCATTGCACTGGAGAATCATGAGGCGAAGCGAAGGCCATAGAATGCCTGGCATGGACATGCCAGTAGCATTCGGCAGCCATGGCACAGGTAATATATTCGATCAGTCTATCAGCTTAATTTCCAGAGAGACCGGAATCAGGTCCATAAGAAGTGCCAGCATCGCAAAGGGCTGGAGAGAATGGGCGTTCATGTCGAAGAATTGTTAAGTTTGTACCCAAGGTGTCAACTATTAATCGAGGCTGGACTGATACTTCGCTAGCTCATCATGGATGATAGAGGCTGAGCGCCTTGGGAAGGCGGGAGCAGCAGAGAAAGTGGAGGTAGCGCGCCAGCTTATGAAGGCAAGCAAGCTTTGCCAGGCCGTTGAACTTCACATACAGGCTCAGTGCAAGGAACAGGGAGCGTCCAAGGGCGGCGATATCGGGGATGGTCTCGCTGTTATGGCTGCGAGCTATCTTGAGGACGGCATGGAAGCCCTGGAAGAGGACTGTCAAGACTCTGATAAGCTTATGGAAGCCCTGACCCACCTGTTTGGGCAAATCAGCCGTGGCGGGGAATCTCGAAGCTATGAGAAGTCCCGTCGAAAGGTCTCGAATATCATGATGCGCAAGATTGATATTGTGGTAAACCAATCCACTGACCATGCCCGAGATGTGGCGGCGAGAGCTTCCAGATACCTTATCATCAACGAGGCGACTTTCTTTCATGATCCAGAATGGTTGTTTGTCTTGACAAAACTTCCTTGAGGAAGTAGCATCCTTCTCGTCGGAGACTACAACCAGCTGTCGCCAATGTGCTTTACACCTCAGGGTCGTGAAGCATGATTCAGCTCGGCTGTCGAAAGGCTCATTGAGAAGGACTATCAGGCCTCCATACTCAACATACAGTACAGAAGCAAACACATATTCACGAGACCACGTCGAAGGTTTTTCACGATGGAGCAGGAGACAGCTTCGCTCTCCAGCGGAGATGGGGCACGAATCTCACGGCTTCTTAATCTTTGGGAAGATAACTACATTTCAGATTGATATGGCTTTCAAGCGTATCACCGGTGACATTCAGGAGGTTATATTAGCAACATATGACACATCAGTCAACACTGGTATCACCGTACAGCTGTGAGGGACCAGATGCACCAGAGCCACTTCCAAGAAAGAAAAAGAAGAGCAATACAAATTTGACCTCTCTTCGGTCGGATGAGCAGCAAGCTATAAAGAGAAGCGTGACTGCTCCGCAGCCCCCGAGCCGGCAGCCAGATTGCAGCTGTCGAACAGCCAGGAAAGAGATGAAGGTATGTGACAGTCTGATGTGCATCTCATGTTCACCACGTTGGTTAAATGGCAGCAACAGGCTGACTGTCTTCATAGGTGCTTGGCAGCTTCGTATCGAACCGATAAGATATAATTCATGTCCGGATTCTGGAAAGGGTTGTTCTGAACCCCGTTATCTCTACTCCGATCAAGAGAGGCGACGTCGCCAACAACATATTTGCTGCCATTACTAAGTACTCAAGTCAGAACACGAGCCCCGTGCGAGGTCGGCAATGGCAATATGAATTGATGGGTCGGCTTCAATCCAGATTGATTATATGCTTTATACGAAAGTCTATATGCGAGCTTCTTAAACCCATATCCAGTTCCATATGCTTGGCTTTATATCACCAGCATACGAAGTCAAGGCCATTTCAAAAGAAAGCGAAGCATAACCTCCAGACTACTTACTTGAAAGCCTGACATGTTCGACATCCCGAGATTCGACCAGCCCGATGCGCCAGCAATCGCCCAGGCTAAGCGGGCGGCGCCTGCACTGGTTCTTCTGCTCCCTCGCCCACGAGGACGGCCTCGCCAACCGGCTCCGGGAGCGTCTCGCCCAGCTGGACCACGGTTTCACCTACTACCAACTGCACATGCGCACCGACACCTCACAGATGCCCTTCATAAGCGACGTCCAGAATGCCTAATGGCTCGCGTGGGATTCGCCCAAGCTCCAGTACATTGCCTGCTACCTGCAGGTGGCGAGGTACTTCGTCGCTTCCAGGAACAAGAGCCCGCCGCGCATCATCTTCTTCTGCCGCTGGCCCCTCACGCAGAGGGTTCTCGCCATGTTCCTTCAGATGCTCGGCATCGGCATCTGCCAGATGTGGGCCTACCAGTCCCCGGAGGAGCGAGGCAACGTCGCAGCCACGTTCACCAGCAAGGACAGCGGTGCGGAGGTGCTCGTGGCCACGTACCGCCTGGCCTCCGTCGGCCTCAACCTCTAGGGTGAGTGTGCGACGGTGGTGCTCGTCGAGCCCGGCCTCCGTCAATTGATGGGCTAATATAACGGAACTGCCGCACAATGCGGCCGAATACTCGCATTGATGGCTTCTTCGATATGTACTCCGTTGTCTTCATTCACCCCGTGTGCTTACTGCAAGGAACCAAAACTCCCGAAATTCCAGAAAAGTCGGACCAAGGAGCAGGCGCGGCAGCTGTCTCGGGACTTCGACAATGTGTGGTGGCATGCGGTCTGCCACCGACAAGACCAGCCCGAAACCCGGGTTCTCGTCATCATGTCGAGCAGAACATTGAAGAGTACTCCGGCTTGTGAAGATCCGTCTGCCGTGCATGTCACGGAAGACACTCCATACTCTTCCTGCTGAGATTTATTATCTGTCAGAACGAAACAGGACATCAATGAAGGCCCCACAAGTATATATGAGAGGTGACAGGTGATGCGTAGACTCTTTCTCCACCACGAAGTTAGAGAGAAGCGAGGGTCTCACGCGCACGATGACACTTCAGAGGACTGCAAGGACCTCCACGAGGGCAAATGGACTGCTGAGCTTTGAAGGAGAACCCCTCACAGACACTGAGTGGTACGATGAGGGCTTATCGTTATTATTCAGCTGCTCTGTAAGAACATTTAGCGCGGCTTGCCACCAATCATCCGAATGTGCTGCTCAATGCCGCTCACTGGTACGGACTAGACTCTACCAAGCCATCAACCACCCAGGAAATGGAGAGGGGTGTCATCTAGTCCGATTACCTATCTGGCGACGCTTACAAAGCTTGGTAGGATCAAATGCAAGCACACACCAATTATGACCAGCCCACTCAAAGCCAATAAAGAGCACGGGGATAGGTCCCCAGAGCCTATATGATCTACGTCGGAGTCACAACTATCTCTATATGAGGCAACTTTTCCAGCTTCCAGCCGCCGGGAACAGGTGTCATCGGAAAGGGAGCTTTCTATGAGATGTCTCCCGAGAGAGACGGTTTGTTTGGGATTTGACCCATGTTGATGCAAACAACGAGGGCTGAAGTTTGGACTTTTGACTGAAAGAGGTATTCAGTCCTTATGCCCAGCACCGGATGATTCCGACAATTATCGTATGGGTAGGGAACAGAGTCGAGTCAGTTAGGAAGACCCAGATCTGGTCAGAACCTCGAACGAATCTTTCACCTTGTCGATAAGAGGAAGGCCCATGCGTGACACCCACAAAGAACTTGAGGAGGGGACAATGCGCATGATATAACTTCAGGTTATCGCACTTGGGACAATCGATGCTTCTCACCATCGAGGGTGTGGCCATGTGCACCGCCCATTTCTACAACGCTCTGCAGCAGGAAAGGCTTGCCCTAAGTGATCCGTCCTGATTGTGGGGCTGAGATTGAACACCGTCAAAGAGGGAGGGCCAAAGAACGTGACAGTGAAAACCGCCCCCTAGTGATGAGAGGGAAAGTGTCATCTACGCAGGAGCATAGCGCGGACAGCGATTCCCGATCGTTGCGTCTGCACTAGAAGGAAGAAAGTGCTTGGCGTCTTTTTTTCCCGGTTCCCGCCCGATTTCTTTCGTGGTCCCTTCATCCTCCGTGAACCTAGCTTTAGTTATAACAATTGACCCGCCAGAAGTGTCAGAATTTTCTCGCAGGAGAAAGAGGAAGACATGAGCCTCCAATCTGGCACTACGGTGACCCACCACCCTTACCACAGCCGCCATTGGAGAGGCAAGTCGCCATTCCACCAGCTCAAACAGATTTATGGCCACGAGTATTTGCATTCTGGGATCCCGGCAATGGCATCTGGCCCCCGTACGGTGTTCGCCTCTGCGATGCCTGGGTGTACGTCGCAATCAAAAAATATCACCGGCCGAACGAACAGCCAGAGCTCCGGGCGATTTCGACACTGAGGGCAGAATTCGTGCCAACAGGGTCCCCGTCGGTCGTACATTCGTTTTCCATATGCATGGCCTATACTTTTTTGCCCAGTATAAGGGCTGGTATATACTATGTGGAGGAGAAGCGGCGCACTCAAACCAAGGGAAATTACTGCTGGTCAGTGCTCAAGCGTGAGCTGCAGCATGGTCTGGCGGGCGTTTACAATAGCAGTCAGGCTTGGTATACTATGTACGGCATTGTAGCAGTTGGTGACAAGGCCTGGATACAGGTTCCCGGTCAACTCTGGCGGCGTGGCTTCCTTGGAATCCAATCTTGGATGCCCCCCTCGACCTGACGCGCCTGGTCTGAGTATCCATACAGACTAAGATCGGATACATGAGCTGGTAAGGATAATCAGGCGTCAAGATGGACACTGAGCGACAGGCAACCCTACAACGAGGGTTCACCCAAAGCTCCAGCATGGACGGAGAATCCACACCACAGAGGCGAGACCTAAAACAGATGATCTCCCTTGCACCATGATATCGCTGTCAACGGCGACAGCAGAAGTAAGAAGCAAGGAGACCCATCTCCTTCAAATCATTATCAAGTTCAAACAGGCACTCTCTCATGCAGGCCGATGGAATTCGCCGTGACAAGACAAAATGCTCACAAAGCCACGGACATTTTCTCTTTTACTCAAAGATAAGTCGTTCTATGTCTTTGAATGAGAGGCTTGACGTACATCACGATACTGGCGAACAGGTCATACGGATTGTAATCCCTCATTCTCAACGCTAGTTCCAAACTCTTCAGAATGAGGTTCATGTTGACACCTGTGACTCGGGACTGCCTACCCTCTGATGAGGAATTCGCATAAAGCGGATTACGAAAGCAGATAATACGCGAAGTCAGATGTCTAACTCGGAGCCTGGGTCCGTGTGGACGATACCAACTGGCTTGAGTTTCTTTGGTATCGAGAACTTCCTGATGAAGTAATCGTTCCTGATATAGCCGATGCGACCTTTGAGAGTGACGACGATGCTTTATTCGATACAGCTGACTCAGCTGTAGATGAATCTGACCAAGCCGACGACAATGAGATTGCTGACAGTCCCATTCCAGTAGATGATACCCAGCTCTAAGCGGAAGCCAAGACATACGCGATACTCGTGTTAAATGAGACTACTGAAACCTTCCGGAACCAGTTCCTGACCGATCTAGTCAGTTCCAGGCTGTCCAAGCGGTCTCTGCTTCAGCCGAGTCATTTCCAGCTGTAATGCGAGAACGACACCAAGGGAACCTTAGCGAACAAGTGCTCTCAAGCGATTGCGGCTGTCGCAGCCCGCGGTAAGCCTGTCGATCGGGTCCCGCTGATGGTGTCTGGTCTGGCCCGCACAAGAAGAAGAGCACTGCTTTGCTCTTTGAGATAGAGTGCTTCGAATCAGACCTCAATCCTAAAGGCTTCTGTTACAATGATGCGCAGAGACACGCAGCGAAAGAGGGTGAAGTCAAGCATGAGGCACGTTTATGAGCCTCGCAAGTCTGGTCAAATGTACCAGGACATCGTGCGCCTACAGTACGCTTTGTACATCTGCAAGGGCAATTGGATCTATGGCTAATCGATATGCAAGTTCTCCTGATGGCGGCGATTGCATCGCACCAGCTGTATTGCAGAATATCGACCGCAAAGATGACCTTCGGTGGCCAGGCGCTCGGGCAGCGTTTCGTTTACTTAAGTTCGAGTACGATGGGCTCAGTTACTGGGCATTGTCTGACTCTGAAAATCTAGAAAGATTCCGTCGAGACCTCACTGGATCTGGACCTTACCACGGATGCATTTGGCGGGGCGGAGAGGCACCTTACATCGCAGAAGGCACGCGTCTTACTGCGCCACTTTCTCGAGCATTTTGCAAGCTCAGGGACCAGCAGCAATGGTTGAACTATCCGCCATCTTGATTTCTTGGTAAGGTTGCGTGGGCTAGGTGGAGCAGGGGTCAGAGATCGAGACAGCGAGAACCACCCGCCTACAATGCCTCCGTCGTGGGCCGGCCCCCTCCTCTCCCGAGACAGCCCCCGCCGACAACGTCCCCCCCCCCCCCCCCCCCCCCTCCGACGCGCGAAGAGTACCTGCGAGCTTGTTACCGATGTATACAGACAGGATTAGCATGCTCTCTCGTCGCTTCGGCAGCAGAAAAGACTTACTGTCTGCGTTGCCGCAGATACAAGAGAGGTCCCAACGGAGGTACGCCCATAAGTATTTTTTATCCTCCTTACCGTTAATAGTGCGCTGACCTTTGCACAGTTGTTGGTAGATATCTTCTTAAAGAATCTCGTTGTTTCGCTGGTGCGGACTGCGGCTGCTGGTAAGGCGGGCGAGGTAAAGTATTTAGCAGCATACTACAAGCAAGAATACGCTTGTTACAGGCCTGTAATATTATATATATCTTGTTCGTGTTGCCGGCAACCGCGGCACCGTTTACACTTCGCGCCTGCCTGTTTCTGCTACTATCCAGGTCCCGTCGCCCGCGCTGTTACCTCTTTTTATGCCGGCGGCCGCGCCCTCGCCCGCTGCCTCCGCGCTGGCCTGCCCCCCCGCGTTTTTTATAAAAATATTTTTATCGGTTGGTTGTTGCACGCCTGGTGGGTCAGTGGCCGCCAAATGCGGCGAAGGTCGTCGTTCTTTTTTTTTTTTTTTTTGTTGTTGGGAAAGGAGTATGAAGACTCGAGTCTTCAGTCTAGGAGGGGTTGTCTCACTATAGGACGATAGTCCCGATGTTGAATCCTTGTATGGAAGGAAGGAATCATACAGATGATAAGCACATGATGATTATCTACTGACATGCTCTCAGTTTGCCCCCGACATGCTTGGATTGCGATTGCTGACAGATCAATACACTCTTGATCTCGCAGAGCCACAACAACCGAGCACTTCAAAGCCTCATAAAGGCGGCCTTGCGGGCAGATCAACAATTGATGGGTTCTCTCCACCAAGACATAAAGCTCTGGGCACCTTTGCGCTAAGCTACTATCTCAGTCTCGTGCAGATCTCAATGCTCCAGCACCGACTAATCATGGCCCTTGTCGGGTTGCGCAGCCTAGACCTGCCGCTTAAAGCCAGCCCAACTGACTGGCTGAGTGCGAGCCCAAGCAACATCGTCACACTAAGCAGGAAGCTGCACGTCTACTGGGGGACAGGAGTGCTGCCCGAAATGCTGCGAAGACAATTCTATCCTAAACTCCTGATCATCGATGAAGCGACATTCTTCAGAGACCCAGAAGTATTCTACGCCCTCACAAAGCTACCACAGGCTATCAACATCCTGCTGGTAGGTGAGCACAACCAGTTGGCACCCCCGTGTTTTACCTCCAAGGATAAGGAGGCCTGGAACGTTTCGGCCTTTGAGCGATTGATAAACAAATCTTATACAGTATTTACTCTAAACACGCAGTACCGCAGTCAAAAACTCATATATAATGCCACTTCGAAGGTTTTCTATGATAGCAAGATCAAAAACATATGGCCTCCCCCGCAGATGGGGAGGCAACCTTGCTTCGTCTCCAATTACGCTCCGCCTCAACTAAAATCGCTGGCTTATCAAACAAGATATCGGATTCCTAGATATCGACGCGCAGACGCAGCGAGACGCGTCCTCGTTATGGTTCAGCCTGACGAAGGCGCGTCTCGTCGTAGACCTGGCAATGACCCTCTCGGCCAGACGGGATGATGTTCTAATCTTGACGCTGTCCAGACGCGGTTGAATATCTGACAACAAAAGTTCGAGTATGACTTGTCTGGCTGCCGCCACTGGATTCTAAGCACAATTCAGGTCAATCTGCTAGATTCCTCAAGAGCTGCAACGTCAGCCTCTCCTCGGAATTCAAGCGGTGAATTTCGAATGGTTCATCAGTAACTTACCTTGAACGACGCGACGATCAAGAGAACCTACCCTATACGACGAGTCGAGCCTATTCTCAACAGTTTAGCATTAGCAAAACTCAAGGTTTTTTTCAAAGAGGACGCCGCAACTGGGTATTGGTCGAGCCCGTTGGCAATGATATATTTGTACAAGACTGCTTTCAGCACAGTCCTCGGCCATCTTTGCTATCGATGCAAGGGATAAGACCTTAGCCCTACACGGCCTACACAAAACCCTTCGGTGCGATCAGTTTCGGTGTCGGACCGCACCCCGCGTGATCCCAGAGAGAGCAAGAAGGCAGGTATTCGAGATCAGAGGCGGTGCATAATCACGAAGGCCGATTATCCGGACATCGAAGAAGCACACGTTTACCCATCCTCTGGTGCTCCGGGGACGTACACAAGGTTGAAGGACAATCGATATAGGTGCTATCCTAGCTCCCTACAATGGGGCTTCCCTTGCGAACCTCACGATAAGTGTGGAATAAGGTTCGAATGCTTCATGGACGACGACATGGATGGAGTGGCTACATTCGAGAGTTTAGTGCTGTGTCGAGTCCGAGGGAAAGTCATTGCATGATTTTCACAGCCTTTTGCCAGAGGCTCGAAGGGGCAAGTGACTCATCGCCACGGGCCTTTTCAAATGACAGCGGGGACCCAGGGGGCTCTATGATTGCAAAGCAAAAGAATCGCGAGGCTGACGAGCGGGGAAGAGATTATCTTACTGTACAAGCGCCGTCCAGGCTCCCGCTGATGGCTCCTAAATGCCTCACTTGTACGGAGAACCAGGAGATAATGCACTACAAGGAGGCTTTTCAGACCGACTCAGATGCACGGCCTCTCCAACAATCGGAGGATCCCAGTGCTATAGTGGAGTCCATCGCGTTGTGTATGCAACGTATACACAACAAGGCCGTTGAGTTTGATCCAGTGACCAAAGAAGAGCTTGCAGAATGACCAAAGCTAGGAGAAGATGATAATCCTGCACTCTGGAGGTTCTTATGCCTGCATTCTGAGAGCACCCTGCTGAGTATGTCCGTGCGCCTTGCTTAGAGACATTGTTCATTTTAAACATACCTGCACCTTCGAAGCTGAAGGCCTTTTTGAAGAGTGCGAAAATATGAATACGGAGTATATGCACTCAATCTCGAAAAAGACGACAGAATTCTCTTCTTCTACATGGGTTTGGTTACTGAAACAAAACGTGGAATCAGGGCTGGAATCGGGTGTCATCAGCGGAAGAATGCATTCCTCAATGATGAAGATAGGCCCCTCGCCTATCCTCTCTTTCGTATCAATCACAACTGCGTTTTCAATGCCAGCCCTGGACAGTGGGATAATCAGATGCTTACTGGTTCACACCTACTCCGAGTGAGAGGGGGTATATGTCCGGACCATTTGACTCAGGAAACACTGCGTGAAGCTGAGGCACAGTGATCTAAATGATCGGATGGATCGCATGAAACCATACGAATTACGAGCACCACCCAGATCAAATAAAAGGAATTGATCAATCGCTATGAACGAGCTAATAATGAAAAGAATTCGAGGAAGAATGCGAAGGGCAAAGTAGCACAGAAGGAAATTCGTCATTCGTATGGTTTCATGCCTTCCCCTTCCCGGTAAAACCGAGGGTAAAACAACAACAAAAAGAAAATTGACGTTGTAATTCCGATACGGGGAATCGAACCCCGATCTCCTGTGTGAGAGACAGGTATGCTAACCTTTACACCATATCGGAGGTAGATATCAACAGCGTGCAAACTTTGCTAAATGATCCAACCAGTCATTTCAATCACTGTTCCTCAGCTTCACGCAGTGATCTCAGTTACCAGCTCAACTCATCAGGCCTCAATCTACAGATGTATTTCCACACGGTCCACCCAGTCTCAGTCGCAATGTGCTTTGCCATAAGAGAGCAGGCAATTGGCCCATTCCTGCGATGACATCAAAGCCCACAGTAGTGGTACACGAATATCGAATACCCAACACATTCCAGATCTCACTCGACAAATAGTGCCATGGAAAAAGCTCTGCAGGAACTGATATCAGACTGAGTTGTTCTAGTCACTTGCCGCTATCTTGGACCCATCAGATAGCATAGCACTGATGCAGAGGGATGGGTTATTCAAAATGCGAATTAGCTATGTTCTTTGCTAATCCGCACCCGCAGTGTATCTGAACGCCAGTCCTTGTCAATGAGGCAAGCGAATACGAACAACGTGCAGAGAAGAGATCTTCAAAAGCAAAGGAGAAGGAGGAGACCTCGGCTAGCAAATACCTTACGGTATGCAGAATTTATCTCCACAGAGGTCGCCCTGAGGGACCTGCAGGAGGTGCTTCCACCGATAGCGATTTGTCGTCGGCGACTCTTCTTGAGGAGCAGCACACTGGCGAAGAGATAGCCAATCAGCACACCAGTTACAGGCTTACTGAGATGTCGGTGCTTCCTCTTTTTGAAGTCAACGAAACTGTCGTCGAAAGCACTCCACCTGAGGAGCAAGAAGTAAACCGACGCATCCAAGCCCAGGCTGAGGGCCCATGGGTTGAAGATCCAATGGAGATCTTCCTCGAGAACTTACCGCATGGAAGAACCATGAATGACCTCCCAGCCAGCGTTGGACATCTACAGCAGCATCTCCACGGTGGTCAGATGACACGATCGAACGGTGCAGATGTGATTCCAGAGCAGAAACATCAACAAAAATTGCGCTAATTTGATGACTCTGTGCGTCCCTTGGCCACTATGCTTCGCCTCAATATATCAAGAGATGACCGTGCATCAAGAAAATGTAATAGCGTCTCATCTCAACGCATGAAAACGCCATACAAAGCTCACAGCCGTTTTCACCGGCGTGTCACAGATCCACCAGAACAAAACCTCATCCTCGGATCGGGCAGTAGCACTGCGGAATAGGAACCTTCCTAATCGGGGAGATCATCAGGGTTATCAAATGGGAGGATAAAAGCGGATATCAGCGAGTTCTGACCAAAGCCTTTATACATGCAATGGTCGCCGCGAATCTCAGTTCTCAACTTCCGCACATTCTGTTTCATGTATCGCCCATTCGGGTTCTTTGTAGGCAAGGGTACGGAAACCCCTCCTTTTTACAGTGCCAGTGCTTAACTGCCAACAAGGGCTGGGAGACTGGAGAGATTGCGTTGCCATCAGCACAAAGGATCGGGAAGCAGAACGTATGACTGAGCAGGCTGCATGTGCCGATTGCATTGAGAAGGAGAAGAAAAGATACTGCTCCTTCTGTCCAGGCTGGACGCCGGAGAAGGAGGCGGAGAGACGTATGAAAAGGAATGCAGAGCGAAAGCGGAAGAGGGAGGAGAAGAGGGGGAACTTACCCCATTCCCGAAAATGATGCTGTTGACATTCCTATCGGTCACCCCGGCTGGCATTGTTTCTGACAGTTCTGCAAAAAGCCACCCCAAAAATATGAAGTCACGAGGTGGAACGATGGCTTTTCTTCGGGCGTCGTATCTGGTGGTGCAGTATGCCACAGTTCTGTCGAGTCAACGAATGTGGAGCTATACTTCGCGAGGATGCTATGTGGTTCTGCGCCGGTTGTGGGCGAAATGAGGCGCAAAGAGAAGCCTATAAAGTAGAGATTGGTCTTAGCTGACTTGGCCGAAATGAACAACTACTGAGATGATTCTGCGTGCACAGAGAAGTGATGTTGTTGGTCTAATTGGTCTAATGCTCAGGGACGGCGAAAAGGCTCTCCAGGCAATATGCAAAGATCCTATACTAGCTATGCTGCCAGCTGGTTGGGGGAGGGGATAATCTGGGAAGTAGGCCATAGTTATGATCGCTGGCGAAGGAAAGATACTGCACATGGGGTGGTGGAAGGATACCTATGGAATGAGGGAGGGAACAGAGAGCAACACTGGCGCAGTAGGAAAATTGTTTGAACAGTATTCGTATCATGCGAACCTGGTGGTGACGAGGAATGAGCAGCTCTGGGGCAGTAATGGCACGCTACATGCAGTTCGTCTTGAATGATTGAGTTCCATCTTTAGTCTGATCCAACATAACTCATCAAGATTCTAGAATAACCTCTAATCAACATGTTCGTCTGGACAGAGAAATTGTTCAGTTGACCATGATTCTATCACCTCAACGTAAATCCACCACCTCAACCCTCACCCGGACCTCCGACACATCAGCCTGAACCCAGAACCCAATGTCCTTGGTCGATTCCACCAAGTCCACCTCTCTCTTGACAAACCGATCCCCATCCGCATCTACATCTCCTCCGCGCTCATCCTCCCCTTCACTATCCCACTCCTCATCCTCCATCTTCTCCCGACTAACCGGATCCAACTCATCCGTCTCCCACACCAACCTCAGTCCAAAAGCAGGGAGCCCGAACAACCGCCCCGCAATCGCCTTAACCTGGTACGTATCGAAGGACCTGGGGATCTCTCTCGTCTTGACCACCTCATCCGCTTTCTCCTTAAGCCCACCATCCTCGTTCTGCCTCAAATAAAACACAAACTTCACCAACCGCGCAGCCACCGACCGAGGATTCACCACTTTCCCAGCTGCATCCTCCGCACTCGTCCTCCGGATCTCCGGCTCCCCGTGCAATTCACACAGCTCCGCATACCGCGGATGCTTGGCCAGGATCGCCGGTTCTTCCGCTTTGGGCGTGGCGGAGAGTTCCTTCGTGATGAGGGAGAGGTAGTACAGTTCGCCGTTGGTGCGGTCCTTGGGCGTGATGGTGCCGTAGTTCAGGACCTGGAGGTTGGCTATCCGCGCTAGTGTGAGCATGTAGGCTTCGTCGACGGTCATGGGCTTCTCGGGGAGGCCGGTGATCGACGTTGGGCCGACGGGTCCGTCGAAGAGCGGGTTGGTGGAGATGCGGAGGGTCGTGAGGGCGGGGCATGTGGTGGGGAGGTGGTTAAGGAAGAGCCAGGTGGAGATTTTGTTGCGGGAGAGGTCGAGGGAGGTTAGGGATGGGAAGATTAGCGGGGTGAGCTCTTCGGGCGTGGTGATGGTGCTGATGGCGTTGGAGCGGAGGGACAGGTGTTGGAGGTTGGGCAAAGAGGTCAGGGATTTGAGGGCGGAGAGGGAGGTGAAGTCGTTGTTTTCGAGGGTGAGGCGGGTGATGTTCCCGGACAGTGGTGAGGAGATAGTGGAGAGTTGGTTGGCGGAGGCGGAGAGGAGAGTGAGAGAGGGGAATTGGTGGGTGATGGCGGAGATCTCGTCCCAGGCAAGAAGCGTCTCATCGAGGTATAGCTCGGTGATCTTGTTGAATGTAAGGCCTTCTTCGACGGGACCGAATCGATTGCCACTGCGTCATAGTCAGAACACTTCCTGTCCATACCTTAAGATAGGGACATACCCCAGCTTCAGGGATTTGAGGTGCTTGAGTCGCTCGCAGATCCTCGCCACGGCGCTCCAGCTAGTCAACAGGTTCCGACTCAAATCCAGCTCCGTGATCTTAGGACAAGTCTGCTCGATCTCTTCATACGCAGACTCCACTTCTTCCGTGGTAGCCTGGTGGCCCAACACGCCAGCGACCCGCAAGCCATCCAGCAAGACGATCTTCAGTTCCTGAAGCTCGGCCAGTTGCTTGCGGATTTTGTCGAACCCGACCTCCTCGACAACCTTTCCGCTGATCTGGATGGGCTTTTGCAGGGCGACAGAGTCCGTCTGCTGGAGCTGTCGAGCAAGCTCCTGCTCCAGGTACTCCGAAGCGTACTTCTCGCGCAGTGCCTCGACCAGCCCACGCGGCTTGTCCGCTGGGCGCGACGGACGCACGAACGACCCAGCCGTGGGGTGATTGCGCAGACCTGTGTTCATCAGTACATACTCTTCGACAAGACAAGTCCCAAGCATCAGCAGGTCAAAACTCACATGTGAAGTATCTCACCCCCTTATGCTCGCCCGAATGCTTTCCGCGACTCGGATCATCCCATTCCACCCCCAACCAGTCGCCGGCGGTACCCTCTACCGTACCAACATAGCAAACGGTACACAGATCTCCAGCATAGGATCGTCGCTGACCAACAGCCGGAGTATCCATGACAGTCTCAATGCTCAAGTACCACCCAAAACGATCTCAATCATGAATATCAGAAGATACTCCGTAGTCAAAGAGACATGCATATCCATTGACAGACGATACCGCGGGACCCACCCCGGAGCACGAACCAATAACAACGCCACCAGCCCGCTTACCTAATGCCAGCTTCTCTCTCCGCCAAACTGCCCATCCATCGATGATTCCATCCATCCATCCCATCTCCAACACCAACCAACATACCCTCCACCCTCCCACCCTTGAACCCACCACATAACCCGGAACCAGAGCCTCTCCAGGCGCAAGTCCCAAAATGGACTACCAGGTGCGAATCCCCCCAACCCCCAACCCCCAACCCGCATCCCCTCTCCAACCCGTCCAACCCACTAACACCCCGATCTAGAACCGCGCAGGCTCGAAATTCGGCGGCGGCGGCGTGGCCTCGCACAGCGCGACGAACGCGGACCGGCGCGAGCGGCTCCGCAAACTGGCGCTGGAGACGATCGACCTGGACAAAGACCCGTACTTCTTCAAGAACCACGTGGGCTCGTTCGAATGCCGGCTGTGCCTGACGGTGCACCAGAACGACGGGTCGTACCTGGCGCACACGCAGGGCCGGAAGCACCAGACCAACCTGGCGCGGCGCGCGGCGCGCGAGCAGCGCGAGGGCAAGAACCAGGACCCGTCCGCGCTGCCGGGGGCGATGGGCGTCCAGGTCAAGAAGCAGACCATCAAGATCGGCCGGCCCGGGTACAAGATCACCAAGATCCGCGACCCGCTCACCCGGCAGCTCGGGATGCTGTTCCAGCTCCAGTACCAGGAGATCACGCCGGGGGTGACGCCGCGCGTGCGGTTCATGTCGGCCTTCGAGCAGAAGGTCGAGGAGCCGCCGGACAAGAGCTTTCAGTATCTCGTCGTCGCGGCCGAGCCGTATCAGTCCTGCGCGTTCAAGCTGCAGGCCAGGGAGATTGATCGGCGCGAGGGAAGGTATTGGACGTGGTTCGATGAGGATAGCAAAGAGTTCTGGGTGCAGATTATGTTCAAGACCGAGCGCGAGGAGAGGTATTCTGGTGTGCCGGGGTTGGCGCCGGTTGAGCCGAATGTCTAATCTCAGCACTTGTTTTTGGTTGTGTTCGGGTTTGGGGGATCTGCGTGATGCTGGTGTTTGGTGGACCAGGGTTTTTCTTTTTTTTCTTTCTTTTCCCTTAAAATGCATGTATCATTCCTAGCTTATGGGCGGCGTTCTATTTTCAGGGGTTTCGCGATTCTAGATACTCGGATACTGATACTGGCAAAAACACAATGAATCATATCGAGCTTCTCATTGCTCTACCGATCTTCCAATCTACAGCCGCATTCCCAGAATCATAGCAGCCCTACCTGTTCCATAATTACTCCGAGAATACAGCTATTCTAAGTCAGAAGTCAAGTCTGGGTCTAAGTCTAAGTCGCCGTGAAGTCCACATGTCACTCGAATTCCTAGCTACATACACGGCTAGCAGCGAGCAGTCGTCGTCTCGCGACAAGGATGCAATGAAATCAAACGAATATGCCTGGGTCGTGACCAACAGAGATGATGAAATGCGCTATATGCTCGATGAAACGGATGCACAATGTGGTAATACCGAGACGAAATGCCGAGTGCGCCACTGAAAATCCATCAATGCAAGCCCGCCCGCTTTCGGACTCTTCAATGACGTCTATCGTGGGTTCACCAACAAAAATGCAATATCCACGTCTATAACTTAGTTTGCCTGGAAGGCGTTGAACGCTTTGTACGTGTAGCCGATGAACGGCAGGCTCATCTCCGCTTCCTGCTCTTCCGGCATGGCCCGAGCCTGGGCGCGGTGGATGGCACTGGTATCCTCCTGCGGAATCTCGTCGATAGGGAAATAAGACACGTCGATGTTCGAGCTCAACCGCGGCTCGAAGGGCGCCCGGATGCTGCGCAGCTGCTCCCAAACAACGCCACGGAAGAAGGGATGGTTCTTGATCTGCGTCGCACCGCCGAATTGGCCGCCTTCACTGCCAATGCGGTGTTCGGTATCACACAGGAAGCTGAAGCCTGTTAGTAGACACCCTCACAGTACAGCAAGAACGGAACTTACCTTCTGATCAAACCTTCCGACTCCCGCGAGAGGACAAGCTCCTCAGGGAAGTACAGACATTCGCGCCAGTTCACGATCTTACGGTAGGTGTCGGTCGTGTCCTCGGCGCAGAATGGCGGCCAGCCAACCAAGCACTCAAACATGATAGCACCAACAGACCACCAATCACACAGGTAAGTGTATCCCTGCCCGTTGAAAATCTCTGGCGCAATGTAATCGGGCGTACCGACGGTCGAGTAGGCCATAGCGCGACGAGACTTTCTCCACGTGTTAATCTGACCACGGTTGGAAACAGTCAAGTTAATCGCGTCATTGAAGTATCCCGAGTTGCGGTTCTTGTCCTTTGACGTGGAGTTCTTGAGTAGGTTCTGATAGTATGAGTTGTCGTGCGTCTTCTTGCCGCCGGTGGAGAGACCGAAATCGGTCAGCTTAACGTGACCTCCACGATCCAAAAGAATGTTATCAGGCTTGATATCACTGCAGGGAAGTTAGCGTTGTTTCCGCCGATCACAGCAAATCGACCTACCGGTGAAGGAAACCAAGCTTGTGGACAGCCTCGATAGCCATGACAATTTCTGCCATGTAGAAGCGAGTAATGTCCTCCGAGAAGATCTCATACTTGATCAACATAGTCATCAAATCACCACCGGGCAAGAACTCCATCAACAGGTAGAGGTAGGCCGAGTCCTGGAAGGAAGCGTGCAGCTTGACCAACCACGGGTTGTCCTTAGAGTCGGCCAGAATATCCCTCTCGGCACGGACGTGGGCCAGCTGGTCCTTCTTGAACATCTCGGTCTTGATCAACGACTTAAGCGCGTAGATCTTGCCATCGGTCTTCCGTTGCACCAGCTTCACCTCTCCGAACGCACCCTTTCCGATGACCTTGATGGTCTGGAAGTTTTGTGGCGTCTCCTTGGTACGCAAGAACCGCAAGAAAGTCGACTCCTTCTTCGCAAGCACCTCCGCCTCCTTGCGCTTCGAATCCTTCGGGACGCCAGGGTCACGGATCATCTTATCAAGCTCCGCCGACCTGTAGAAAGGAATCAAAGTCAGTATTTCCTCTTTCACGAAGTTCGACTAAGATCAGACGAGTACTCACCGCAGGTTGCGGTCGCGCGCGCGCTCAATGTTCTCATTGAAAAACACACTGACCAATTCCTTGGCCGCCTTACCACGCTTGTGAACATTTTCCGAGTATCGCTCCGGGTAGCGCTGAAGCTCTTCGTTCTCGGCGGGGGTCCGGGGGCTGCGTGGCATGGGAGGGGCCAGATGGCCGGGTTGTTGTTGTGCGGCGGCGGGGGAGCCAGCGGTCCGGGGTCGCTGAGCGGGAGAGGCTGCGCGACCAAAGAAACCCGACCGGGGAGAATTCAGGTCCTGGTTGGAGAACTGCTGAATCAGGCCATTCGTCCCGTCATTGGCGTTGTAGCCCATGCGGGATCCGTATGCGGCTTGAGAGGACTGCAGGTTCTGGCCGTAGTGTTGTTGCTGTTGTTGTTGTTGCTGTTGCTGCTGCTGTTGCTGCTGAGCGTAGGCCCCCTGGGCTTGGTAGGGGTTGGCCATAAAATAACCCTGGCCATAGGCACCGTTCTGAGCATCGACATATTCCTGGCCACCCTGATTCTGGTAGATGGGCTGAGGGAATGCGGAGGGGGTGGTGGGATAAGCTCGATTGTTGGCAGCCGGGTTGTTGAAGGAGCGATCATTGTACCCGAAATTCAGGTGGAGACGATTGTTGTTGGGATCCATGATGGGCAGAACTGTCCTCCCCGAGGCTGAATAGCCGTGATTGACAGAGAATGGCGGGGAGAGAAGTTTACTTTTGGGGGGGGAGAAGAAAGGGGAGAAAAGAAAAGAAACGAACGATAAGCAGAAAGCCAAGGGGGAGGGGGAGAAGGAGGAGAGGGGGGGAGGGGGGGAGGAGGAGGAGGAGTCAAGAATGTGGAAGATGTGGTAGTGGTGGTGGTGGTGGTAGTGGAAGTTCAAGTGGAGTTTGGTTTGGGCTAGACTAAAGAGGAGAGAGACGGAGGGGCGGTTAGAATAAGGGAAAGGGTGGAAGGGGAGATTTCAACTTTAAGGGGCGGGCGGCGGCTGATGCCAGGTGGGATCCAAACTAAGGAGCGGTGGCTACATTCAAACTGGACTTTGTAAGTTACTGTACAGTCTCAGGAGGCGAATCTGGCTCTTTGACACTGTCCACCACCTCCACCAGCAATGATGTTAGTGTTTCATGATTGATAACGTGGAAGACATGAAACAATTGCGACTCTTTGAAAAGACGGGTCACATACATCAGCCTCTACATTCCCAGAGTGAGCCAGATACAGCAGAATTGAGGCTGGCATGCAACCACAGCATCTCAAAAAGGACTGGATCGATCTGAAACAATCTGGAGAGCATCCATCACCAAGACCGACACTAAGAAGGCCAGACTCGCTCGCTACGGCATGCCAGGGTCTCCAGTTGCGTGGTTTCACTATCCCTATCAGGCGAAGACTGATCCTCCGATCACCCAGTAATTTGCAAAGCTAGCGCTTTGCAACTTTATGAGAGTCTGAGTAAGGGTAATAAACGCTGATTGGCTGACTTTCTGTACGAAATTAAATAATCTGATTAGTTTTTTTAAGTAGTAGTTATATAACTTCTACTAAATTGTGCTTCGCCGGATAGCCGGGGAGGGGTTGAGAAGAGATAGTAAGATCTTTCTCCAGCTACAGATTTAGGCCGTAGGTCTGAATCAATATATACGAAGTATTAACAAAGATTGCTTAAGAAAGTGCTTAAAAAGAAATTTAATAAGATAGTTAAAAGGTGCTTAAAAAGATGCTTAGAAAGGTGTTTAAACAGGCTCTCAGCTACTGAACTAGAGGCTTGAAAAGATGCTTGAAAAGATGCTTGAAAAGATGCTTGAAAAGATGCTTGAAAAGATGCTTGAAAAGATGCTTGAAAAGGTGCTTGAAAAGGTGCTTGAAAAGGTGCTTGAAAAGGTGCTTGAAAAGGTGCTTGAAAAGGTGCCTGAAAAGGTGCTTGAATAGATGCTTGAATAGATGCAAGTACGGGCCCTGCTGGGCCCGCTAAAGGCGCGTCGCAACGCCTTTGGCCAAGGGAGGAACCCGCAGGTCAGGCCCTCGTTAAGTCTCCACGGCCATTCGGATCACGGGACTGGGTATACTGTTGTAAAGTACATCCCCAGAAGCCCTCTGCTATGCTCGCACATGTAACCAAAGGTGGTCGGAGGATATAAAAGACACAGCCAGTAATCAGGCTATCTAGTGTATCCATCAGCTATGCAAGTTATAGCTACCTATAATTAAGAGCATTGCTTGCCGAGCGTACAAACAAACATGGGTATACTGAGATATTCTCTCGCCCCCGGACGGATCAACGTGGATCCGACGGAGCTGTAGCGTGCATCCCCGAACTTTTTCGGGCCTCCGCCATAGTAGTAGATTCTTGACCTTGGGAATCACCACCTAATTACGAGGAAGTTGATCTTCCTCTGTGTTCACTCCTCCGTCCGTTACATCCCGAGGACTTCTCCGGACAGTCGAATACCCCGACCATCATGGCAGACTCCTCCAACCCCAAGCCCGCGGAGACTGCAGGGCCCGCTCAGTCCGCGGCCTCGAAGCCCGCCTCCAAGCCTGTCAACCCTGCCTTCAGGATGATGGGTATGGCACCTCGCCCTTTCCCAATGTCTTCTAATCATGAAATCGTACAAACTAACAAATCGACTCCCAGGTCTCCCCAACATCAAATTCCGCCTCCCCTCCCGGAACTGGATGATCTTCTGGACCATCACCGGCTCGTTCACCGCGGCCCTGATCTACGACCGTCGAGAGAAACGCCGCGCCCAGCAGAAATGGTGTGACCTGGTGGCGCACCTATCCAAGGAGACGCTGCCCGTGGAGCAGATGCGTCGCAAGATTACCGTCTTCCTGGCCGCGCCGCCCGGGGACGGGCTCCGGGTCGCCCGCGACCACTTCAAGGAATACGTCAAGCCGATCCTCGTCGCCGCGGCGGTCGACTACCAGGTCATCGAGGGCCGGCGCGAGGGCGAGGTGCGCGCGGGCCTGGCCGAGCAGATCCGCAAGACGCGACGCCGCGCGGGCGAGCCCAGCTCCGTCGTCGAGGAGCCCAGCGTCGAGGGCGTCGTCTACGACACGCGCACGCACCTCGGCATCACGGACGAACCGGGCCCCAAGGGCGATCTGGTGATCGGCCGACACACCTGGAAGGAGTACATCCGGGGTCTGCACGAGGGCTGGCTCGGCCCTCTGGATCCCCCTCCTGCACCCACCGAAGACGAACAACAACAACAACCACCCTCACCCCCCGTTCCCGAAGACGGTGCCCCCGAAACCCCCGAGAAGCAAGAAGACACCACGCCCTCCGAAGAGCCAAAGAAAGAGGAAGAGAAGACGAAGAAACCTACCGGTCCGACCCCAACCTACCTCCCCACCAGCGCCTACGACCAGCAACCCCTCCCGCCGACCCTCCCCGCCACCCTCGACGGCTCCGTGCCCATCGCCTTCCCCCACCTCCTGGGCTTCCTCAACACCCCGATCCGCATCTACCGCTACCTGAACCGCCGCCACCTCGCCGACGAGATCGGCCGCGACGTCGCGGCCCTGGTCCTCGCCTCCTCCAGCCGCCCATACACCGAAACCACCACCACCACCACCCCCACACCTGACTCCTCCGAATCCCTCACCACTACGACCACCGACCCCACCCCGATCCCCGAGCAGCAAACCATCCTCGCCCCCGCCGAACGCGACTGGCACAAATCCGTCCACCGCACGGACGAAACCCAACCCGACAAGGAGCGCGAATGGCTCGATCCCATCGTGCTGGACCCCCGGCTCGCCTCCCGCATGCACCGCTACATCGTGTCCCCAGAGGAAGAAAGCCGGGCGACCCGCATCGCCAGCGGTGAGGAATACATCCGCGGCGAGGAGCGGCCCGCCCCCGTGCCCGTGTGGCAGCGCCTGTGGGTGAAGTACGGCTACGGCGAGGACGAGGCCACCCTCCAGCGGCGGCCGATTTTGGGGAACCTCGACAACGAGGATGGGGAGTAGAATTTATGTGCATGTATAAGAGATCTTTGCCGCACGGATCGGTATAGAATATAGAAGGGAAAGATGGGGGATTCTGTTTTGACACAAGTATATAGCTAGAGTTTTGGTGAGGTTGATGTTGTTATGATAGGCCTCTTGTGGAAAAGAGGCTGTCGTCCTTGTTGATATGATATATCATTTGTTTTTGTTTTTGTCGTCATTCTGCATGGGAAAAGGAACTGTCGCTGCTCTTGGTTGTATTTCTATCTTCTTTTTCATCTCTGGTTGTATTTAGAGGTGTATATCATTCCAATCTAGAGGTGTTTTGAATGTGCAGGCTTCTTGTTGTTTACTAAATATTCTTTTGCGGGTGTCTAAAATATATCAGAGGACCCCTGCCTTGAGCCTCGCAAACCGTCTTGAGTAACCGCTTCTTATCAATTGGTATTCTTGAACATATGTAGCTACAGCAAGTAGGCTACGTTGACAGCAACAACAACTAACCTAGTGATACACACTCTGAAACTTCGAAAGCTCTTTTATAACGTCTAGCTAAAATTGCCTCCCCCCTCTTTTCTTCTACGCGTTCCCATACCATGCAAACAAGGTATACATCAAACACGCAACTGCAATAGTTATACCCAGGCTAATCACCAGAAACAAAAAAAGGAAGTAAATATCCAGTTCTGAAGAGATCACACACAACAAGCCCTGGTTGATTGAGCCGGGTAACGTGTGACAGTGTTCTACCCATCCAACGCATTTTCCATTTTTCATTTTACTTCATCCTTTACTCCAGACGGAACACCGATGAGTCAGGCCATTTGCTGCTGGCCTTCTGAGCATAGGCGGTCTTGGCAGCCTGGTCGCTGCCCCACGCGGTCAGCAATTCCAGGCCGGTGAGCGCGGTATCGATGGTGATGTCGGTCGAGTCAAGCGTGGCGGTAAGCTCTTGTTCGCACTGCGACCTGGTGTCGGGCTTCAGGAGCTGCCGGCTGGTGAGACCGGCCTGGACTTGAGGGACACTGTCCTTGTGGGTGGAAATGAAGGACTCGTTCCACTCGTCCAGGTTCGTCGATTTAGGGAGCAAAGCCTCGAATTCGGCGTTGACGGCCTCAGCTACTTCAGCAGGAAGGGGCTCGGACAGGTTGTCCAGAGCTTTGCGGAGTCGGAGGATTTGAACGTGGAGAGTGGGGTTGGCGGCCTCGATCGAGTGGGCGGCAGTCAGGCACTTGAGGGCGAGCGCGTATTTACCTAATCGAGGATGACATTAGCAGGGGTGGTGGTAGCAAATTGCAAGGCGATGGACATACCTCTTCTGAGATAAACCTCGAATCCGAGAGTCTGAGCCTCAATGCTCTTGGGGCTGAGCTCCAACAAGGGAGTCAAGAACTTCATCGCCTCCTTGAGCGGGTCCTGGGTCGCGACCAGCTTGGTGCCAAGCGGATCAGGGTCCTCCTTCTTGACGTCTCCGTCGGCGCTCTTGCCGGTGCTGGCCGCTTTTCTTGCCTCGCGCTTCTCGGCCTCCAGCTTCTCCAGGCGCTGCTGCTCCTTCTTGGCCTTCTTGAGGGCCTTCTTGCGCTCGTTCTCATCCTCTCCGACCCCGTTGGTAGCCATAGGTCCGTGGGCCAGATCCGGCTGGTCGTGCAGGAGCAAGTATGACTTGATGGCCGAGAGAGCCACACGGGTGTAGAAGGGGTGCTCGCGCAGGCGGTCCTCCCAACGGACCATGTCCACGTACGCGCGGATCATGCCCTTCCGCAGCGAGAAGCTGTGGAAGTCGAACTGATCTTCTTGCCAGGTGTCGAAGATGTTGTAAACGGCGTGGAAGCGCTTGAGGGCAAGGCCGAGCTTCTTCTGGCGCAGGTAGGCCTCGCCATCCTCCGTTAGGTACCACACACACTGCATCTCATGCAGATCACCCATAGCGCCTCCAACAGTCTCGTTCCGGGTGAACTTGCTCATGTTGTCAAGACCCTTCTCGTTGTCGTTGTTGCGGAGTTGATACTTGGCAGCCTTGGTGTTGATGTAACGGTCCTTCTCGTCCAGCAGACGGGCCTTTTCCATCTCCTCAGCGGCCTTCTCGAGGTTGCCGTGGTGCTTCCAGATCCGCGCCTTGGTCATCTGGTATTCCACGGCCTTGGGCGAAAGTTCGATAGCCTTGTCGACATGCTCCATCGCCTTGGTCAAGTCGCGGCTGAGGTGGTAGTTGTAGTGCTGGGCGAGGAAGTAATGGGAAGAAGAAAGGAATTCGGTGTTGTCGCTGTCGGTCTGACCCTCAGCAGAACCGTTGGACTGAGGAGTCGAGACGTAACCCTCAACCAGCTCCTGAACAGTATCCCGCTTAGCCACGTTGGTATAAAGGGCCTTGATGTTGGCAAAGAGCGAGGGTACGCCCTTCTTGAGCGAGCGCTGCAAATAGGCATCGGCAGCCTGCTTGAAGTCGTCTCCCTCAAGGAAGTCCAGAGGGATCCGGCGAGCAGCGTCACCACGGGGGGCCTTCTCCACCCAGGAATCGTACAAGGCCTTCAAAGCCTTGGGCTCGTCCTTGGAAAGACCCTTAGCCCGGATCAAAGCATCGTAGTAGGTCGAGTTCTCAGGGTTCCGCTCGAGAAGAGTAGTGTAAGCGGCCTCGGCCTCGGCCTTGCGGTCCAGGCGCAAGAGGTAGTCCGCCTTCATCTCCAGCACAGCCTGCACATCGGCACATCTGCGACCGAACTTCTCCAAATGCTCCAATGCCTGCTCCAGCTTGCCGGCCTCGGCCATGATTGTATTCTTGTACAGGACGGCCTCGGAGTGCTCCATGTCAGAGGTGGGCGGCGGGGTCTTCAGCGTCTCCTCGTACGTCGTGAGCACCTTCTCGGCCTCCTCGAGATCGCCGGAAAGGTGGTGTGCGATCGCCAGGGCGGTCCAGTTCTGTCGGAAGTTGGGGCGGGCCTGCAGCATGGTCGTCCGGCTCTGTATGTAGCCCTGGTAATCCCGCATCTGTATCTGGAGGAGCGCAAGATCCCGCTGGATGGGCTGCGACTCGGGCTCGATCCTCAGGGCAAAGCGGTATGCCTTGATCGCCTCCTCGTAGTTCTTCTCCGCACGGTACAGCAGCCCGTAGACGTGCCAGCAGATATGCGACCTCATGTCGTTCTTGAGGGCCTCCTTGGCCAGCACGAAAGCCTCCTCCAACTGGCCGATGTTGCTCATGATCAGAGCCTTCATCGCCAAGGTATCGCCATGGTTAGGGTTCTTCTTTAGAATTTGTTCGGCGGTTTTGATGCCTGTTGTGCGATGCGAGCATTGGCGTTAGCTGTTTTGCACTGGAGTGCTTGCGAAAGTGACAAGCGTGTTCATTGTGGAGGGGTTTTGCAGAACGCACCTTTCTTATGTTGCTTGTTTTCATAATGACGGACCACTTGACGGAACAAGGCCGCATCCTTGGAGCTCAATGGTTGTGGCATGGTGCGTGTGGGTGAGAGGTGGAAGGTGCAGTGCAAAGACTTGCAGACTTGCGGACTTGCCAGATGACTGTGTGCGGAAGACGGAAGCTGGGCGGTGGTCGTGCGCGGGGAGGGGGAGAGAGAGAGAAAGAGGGACGGACTCGATACTAGGTACTCCGTAGTAGAGGGAGGAATGACGATTGATGATTGCTCAGGCAGCGATAAGCTCTGACCGATTCTACAACAAGAACTTTTGACAGGAAATATCACCAGAAGAGCAGCAAGCAACAAAAAACAATCTGGGGGTTTTTGAGTCGAGCAATTTCTATTGAGAAAGCAACAAATAAGCTATATTTATTCATAAAGTTCTTTCCCGACCGCCGTCTTCCGCCAAAGGCTGCCCCGTATTAGTCAAGATGATGATCCGAAGCGGCGCTTGCATGCATATGCAACACTACGCAGACAGCCTGTCTATTCACCATGCTAGGTTTACTCAATGGAAAGAGGCTGAAAGAGTGAAGAACGCCGTTGGGATGCTATTGTTACATGGTCATTTACATACATAACTAGTGAAAATGGTCAAATGACCGCTTGTGCTGGCCGGGATCGACCCGACCCTCCAAAGTAGAAGACTCCCAAGCGAGACTCCATCGACCCTGGAACCCAAGGACAATCCTACAAGTCCCTGACTGATCGTTGATTGGTTTCGCGCCACTTGTTCAGCGCTTCCTCCCAGCTCTCTGATGAGCTTTCGCATCGTTCCGTCACAAGACCCCAGGTCCGCGCACGAATGATATCTTCAACGCTTCTTTGATACCGAACGAGGTATGCCAGGGATTCCGTGCGTGGTTCGCGAGGGAAGAACCGCGCAGAGTAAGGATCGAGTCTTTCGTCGACCACGCGCTCGCGGTCCTTAGCCGACTCGACTTCCCGCAGGAGAAGGTCCGGATCTTCCGGGTCAGGGCTCGTTGCCACACCAGCGCAATAACTGAGCACGTCTGACCGCGCCTGCCATGACGGGAACAGCACTTTATTCTTGAAGCCTTCGCAGGCTGCCGGGTCGATTGTTCGCTCCGCCGTGGGGTCTATCTGGCGGGCGGCCGTTGAGGAGGGGTCGAAACCGTCCCGTGCCGGAGTATACAATGCATTAAGATTCTGCGTGATCGAATCATCTATCGTCGATCGGGAGAGGCGCAGAAATTCTAATTACCAGTGCAGACCTTCGTCAGCGCCTGTTTCTGTCATTGCACGCTTTGGTGGCGACGGGAGTCTACATACCTCGGAGTGCCCTTTCATTGAAACAAAACTTGGGGCTTAACGCAGGGGCCGCGGTTGAAGTTTGGTGAGACATTTTCTGACCCTCTGCTTTCCCTGCCTCCCCGTCCAACGCACGTTTCTCGGCCCAGAATAAATCCACTTTGTATGTTGAGAATGCGGTTCAAGCCGGCTGTGGGTGGCAATCCCGTCTGTTGGCGGCAAGTCGATCAGCGAGAAGAGAGTATCGCTGAATTTTTGTCGGAGGCCGAGGAAGTACTTGAGGTGATTGCAAACTTCCTTTGACAACAGTTTAAGGATAGTCCAAAGTGTATTAGGAGCAGATATGCGTGAGGATTAGCTAGGACTTGAAGCGATGAAGTGGAAGTAATGCGTATGAGGGCCGGCCCGCATGCCGTCCAGACCATCAGCACTGCAGAAGCAGCTTACTGCCGGAACCGGTTAGCAATCTCAAATCACGGGACTACGTGATTCCTTGACGCGCGTTGCGGCGATCTTTCGCCTGACGAGGGATTCCTTACAAGTCGAACTAATGCAATTCACTTCCAGTCCGGAAAATCTCCTCTGAAGCTTGATCTGTGTTAATCACGAGGGTTCGAAATCTTGTACACGCCCAATTCGTTGACATACACCCCATCTTTCCGCAATGCCCGAGCTAGCGGAGGTTTCGCGCATCGTCCACTTCATACGCCACCATCTGGTCGGCAAGACTCTGACGAAAGTGTCTGCCCAACATGATGACATTGTCTACGGAAAAGTCGGAACCACTGCCGCCGAATTTCAGAAGGCAATGGAAGGAAAGAAGGTCGTTGGCGCCGGACAGCAGGGCAAGTATTTCTGGATCACTATGTCGACGCCGCCCCATGCGGTAATGCATTTTGGAATGGCTGGCTGGCTCAAGATCCGTGATGCCGACACATACTACTATCGTACCGATAAACCAGAGGACAAAGAGTGGCCGCCCAAGTACTGGAAGTTCTTGTTGGAAACCGACGGTGATCCTAAGGCAGAGGCGGCCTTTGTGGATCCTCGTCGACTAGCTCGCATACGGCTCGTCGATTGTCCCGCTGAAGAAATTCGCAAGCATAGCCCATTGAAAGAGAACGGCCCGGATCCGGTTGCAGATAAGGATACTGTCACGGAGGAGTGGCTTGCAAAGAAACTAAGGAGCAAGAAGGTTCCCGTCAAGGCCCTTCTGCTCGATCAGGCGAACATTAGCGGAATTGGGAACTGGATGGGGTATGTCCATTGTTCTTCTAGCTCCTAAGTACATTCAATGGCTAAATTGGCTCTAGTGATGAAATCTTGTATCACGCAAAGATACACCCAGAGCAGTATAGCAACACCCTGAATGATGACCAGATCAAGGCGCTCCACACCGCTATGCACTATGTCTGCTCGACATCAGTGGAAGTGCTAGCCGACTCCGAGAAGTTTCCGGAGCATTGGTTGTTTAAGCATCGATGGAGTAAGGGCAAGAAGAATGTCCCATCTGTCCTGCCCAACGGAGAGAAGATCACTTTCCTCACCGTTGGGGGTAGAACAAGTGCTGTGGTTCCCAGCGTACAGAAGAAGACCGGGCCAGTGGCAAAGGAAGTTGACAGCGATAGTGGCAGCAACTCGAAGCGAAAGAGAGACCCAGTCGTGAAGGAAGAGGATGAAACACCAGTGAGCGAAGACGAATCCAAGCCAAGAAAAGCTAGCTCCAAGAGAGAGAACAAAAAAGCCATCAAAACCGAAGATGAGGAGGAAACCAAGCCGTCGGAATCAACAACCACAACCAGACGGCGCTCAACAAGGGTGAGGAAGTGATTCCATGTTGCGGGCTTTCCTGTTTATCGTCGCCACCTTGTCAAATATAACTATAGTGCGACGATTTCAAGATGAGATTCGACCTGGACATGTTATACCTCCGGTCTCGATTTCTTGCTGCGCGAACGCTTATATCGTCAGTCCATGAAGCTTGTCTCTGAAAACATCGAAATTCCCGTTCTCTTGCGCAATTGTCTTTGCATCGTCTAGGATTGCGAATACGATCTTCTCCCACCAGCCTTGGAACTCTTTCTCCCGCAAAACTTCGGCCCAGCAATCAGCAACCTCGGCGTTCGGGTTTCCAAAGGCTCCACAACCCAGAGCCCCTAGCACAAGCCTGCGGTGTTTTCTGTACGCGGCGATTCGAAGAATCAATCTCATTTTCAATTTCATTCCCTCGCGATCGCGCAGGCTCTTGTACCTCGGCGGGTCGTGTTGGTGGTCTAGTTCTGGGTCCTGAATAGCAGCCACGCTAATCACGCTCACCACCGGGAAAAGGTCAGGCTTTTCCAAGTCCATCAGCTCATGGCCTTTATCAATGCTCTCTCGGAAGACGAGGACAGATGGTGAATAAATAGCGCCGAGGAATCGCAGGGGGTAGTACCGATGTTTGAGTGTTGAGCTTAAGCTGCTCCGATAGCAGAGTGCCTCTTCTTGGGCAAGGGCTCCATTAAGCCAACCTCCACCAGGCCTGTTTGCGTTGGCCATATTGAGAATACAAATGTGCTCTGCGTTGTTTTGGTTGTAGGGGTACAAAGAAGGACCCAGCGCAGTAGCAATATCGAAAGTATCGCCGAGCAGTATTTCCACCTGGGTTGTCAGTCTCGGGCTGAACCTAGGGTCAAGAGCGTCGTATCTGGAGCCGTGACATATTTGCCCGATAGGAGGTGCCTCGGGACGTGTAGACAGAATCGTTGGGAGCAATGCATTTGTTTCTTCTGCGACCAATCTTAACTTCTCTCTTTGGCCTCGCCCCGAATGTTGTCGCGGCCGCTTCCGCCTTCCGCTCACCGGCCGGAAATAATCAGTAATCCGGTTTGACGTCATTCGAGGATTGGTCCTGAGGACTCGTAATGGTTCAATAAGACCAGACAGATGTATTGGCAGCCCCTCTGTGCAAATGTATTTCATGTATTATACAATCGTGCTCCTAGGCAGCAAGGAAGGCGCGTCTAACCGGTTGGTGCCTCGTGTCCGGTGGGCCGGCAGAATGAACCGGGACGCGATAAGATTAGACTAAAGCAGCAAGCGGTGAGCTTATCTTCGCCGATCGCGGGGCAGCCACTTCAATCCCATCCGCCGTACAAATGCGGTTCCGTCGCCACGATGACAAAGCATTGATTCTATCACAATTACCTTCAATTCGAGTTCTTTCCCTCTGCAAACTTTGGAATATTCTAAACATTTCCTCTTTCATTAGCTGCTTACATCAGGCTTACTGCGTGCCTTTTTGTGACTTCACACTCAATTTACAAAGCGCTCACTCGAACCTCTACGAGCTGCGGATCCCTCTATCAATCCCAGTCTACTGCGTCGGCCTCCGGCGTCTGCCACGATGAGTGCAATTCTCTCTGCAGACGACCTCAACGATTTTATTTCCCCTGGTGTCGCATGTATTAAGCCAGTCGAAACCCTTCCAAAGAAGGAGGAGTCAAACTCAGATGTACGTGCGCGAGCGATACCTTTCCTCCTCCCCTCTTCCACCCTCCTTTGTCCAATAATAGGCCTCTAATTTCTAATTGTATAGAATCCTTATGAAGTGACCAAAGAAGACAAGGTCCAACCTGAAAACCTCCCTCCGGCTCAGATCTCTTTGACAGACTGTCTCGCGTGCTCTGGATGTGTCACATCTGCCGAGGCAGTGCTTATCTCATTGCAGTCACACGCCGAGGTCCTCAACACCCTCGATACATATCCCGAACTATCGCTAAGTGGCGATGACGCTCATGATGGCGAGAGTCGGATATTTGTTGCGAGTGTCAGTCCACAAGTGAGGGCGAGCCTGGCGGCGACCTACGGAATAGCAGAGAAGGATGCAGACAACATGATTCACCAACTCTTGAGTGGTCCGCAGGGTTTACGGGCTGGAGGAGCGAAGAACAGCGGTTTCACATGGATAGTCGACACCAATGTAATGAGGGAAGCCGTTCTATCTCTCACCGCAGACGAGGTCAGCGACTCATTGGCTGCAACCTCAGACACCCCTGGATTGTCGTTCCCGAAACGCCCTATCTTGTCCTCCGCATGTCCAGGATGGATCTGCTACGCCGAAAAGACGCATCCTTTCATCCTTCCTCACCTGTCGCGTCTCAAGTCTCCCCAGGCACTCACCGGAACGTTCCTGAAAACGGTGCTTAGCAAGTCCCTGGGAATTCCCACCTCTCGCATCTGGCATTTGGCCATTATGCCGTGCTTTGACAAGAAGCTGGAGGCCAGCAGAGAAGAACTCACAGATGAAGCATGGTCTCCGTCCTCTGCTGAGTCTACCACGCCAGTTCGCGACGTTGACTGCGTCATCACCACGCGCGAGCTTCTTTCCCTGGCATCTTCCAGAGGCATTTCGCTGCCCAGTTTGCCTCTGAAGCCTGTGTCACAGCCACAATTCCCGGACCCAGTATTGCATGACTTCCTCTTTTCTAAGAGTAAATCGGTCCAGAATGCTACGACAGGTACCTCCGGAGGCTACCTCTACCACGTCCTCAAATGTTTCCAATCACGAAATCCAGGTAGCGAGATTGAGATTCAACGAGGACGGAATGCGGACGTTGTGGAGTACTTTCTGATGTCGCCCGAACATCAGCCCATTATGAAGGCTGCCCGCTACTACGGTTTCAGAAACATCCAGAACCTTGTGCGTAAACTCAAGCCAGCGCGAGTCTCGCGACTCCCGGGTGCGCGGACAGCAAATGGGCCGATGGGCGGCAGCAGACGGCAGCCGGTGGGACGGAATGCTGCATCAGGTGGATCGGGCTCAGACTATGTATACGTGGAGGTCATGGCATGCCCTGGGGGCTGCACGAATGGCGGAGGACAGATCCGCATTGAAGACGCCCGGGAGGCAACAAGCGCACAGACCGAGACTTCAGGGGAGACGCCGAAGCCCTCACCGCATGAACAGCGCGCATGGCTCGCTCGTGTGGACGAGGCTTACTACTCTGCCGAGTCGGACTCGGAGAGTGAGGTCGCCCCTCAATCACAGCCCCTTTCTCTTGCGGAACAAGAGGCCAGGGTGCATACCGCCCTGAACCACTGGGCCACCTTCATGGGCGTGCCTCTTTCAAAGCTGGCTTATACTACATATCGGGAGGTTGAGAGCGACGTGGGCAAGCCCCAGGGACCACCGGATGCCGCTCGCGTGGTCGAGTTGGCTGGGAAGATCGGTGGTGGTTGGTGATTTTGACATTTGATGACGACATATACATATACCCTGTGATGTTCGCATATATGATTCCATATGATTGCATTAGGACTGCATAGCTACGGATATAGACAAACATTTCAGCCCCTTTGTCCATACAACAACGGTCTTACCTTCAGCCAAGGAGTAAGAGGAAATCCCGTCTATCGACAAGCCATGAAGGCCCGTCAAATCATAATTTGATGAAGGGAATGCGCAAATCTAGATTAAGTGCTCCATAGACCGGGGTCAACCCACCGCCTACCCCAAACAAGCTAGCCGTAAGCCACGGGCACCACCACCAGAACCAACAATCAGCTGACTAACCGCTCCAGATCCTTCTATCTGCGCCGCAAAAAAGTTCCCGCGATAATATTCCACCTACCAGCTCACCCAAGCATCGCATCGCAGACCTCCAACCCTCTATCCACCATCACCAACCTTAACGAAAACCCTCATACCCGAAAACAAAAATGTCCCGCGAAGCCTACCAAGTCCCCTCCAACCTTGGCGGCTCCCAGAGCGCCTTCGGCGGCGCCGACGGCGGTGCGGGCGGCGCGGCGGGCTCCTCCCTCGACGGCCCCATGGTCGCCTACCTGTGCGGCGAGTGCAACTCGCGGGTGTCGTTGAAGCGCGGCGATCAGATCCGGTGCAAGGAGTGCGGACACCGTGTGCTGTATAAGGAGCGGACGAAGAGGTTTGTGCTTTTTTTCCCTTTTGGGTTTCAGGTTTGGGTCTTAGGTTGAAGGATGGGTTTGCTGACGAGTTTCTTCTTTGCGGAAATCTAGAATGGTGCAGTTTGAGGCGCGGTGATTTCGAGATATTGCGTTACAGTTATGTTACTCTGGGGGCTGGGTGAGATGAGGAAGGGAAGCAGATTCATGGGAAACTGAAAAGGGAGATGAAAGGTGGAAGAGGAAGGTGGAGGGGACGATGGGGTTGCTGCTTGGATTACGATTGATGTGCATTTTCATTTGTGGTGTTTGGGAGTTCATACCACTCATTTTTTTTTTCATACTCTTTGCGTCGTGGTGGTGGTGGTGGTGGTGCGGATGTGCTGGGTAGACAGGGCAAGGTTCTTTGTCTTCAGGTAGGCTCAAAGATTGAGCGTGGACAGGTCGGGTCCGCGTGCTATGGCTGTCACCGTGGCTATGGGTAAGTCGCATAGGAAACTATTTCTAGCGAGGCTGTCCTGGCAACTGGCCGATTATACCTCAACAACCTAGCCTCTGGACATATGCTATGCTTGCACTATCCTATGCTACTCGCAAGTTCTTCAAATCAGACCGGTCTATCCGGCCAGAATAATCCAATCTCCCAATGCTTGTCCGTAGAAGAACCGAACTATTTAACGCACATACATATTCCAAAGTCATCACAGCTGGTTAGTCACTTCGATAAAGTGCTCGAAGCTTCGGAGAGCGGCGCCGCTCTCAATGCACCAGCGCGCCCGGCGGACACCTTCCTTCCAGCGCCCGCCGCCAGGTCCCCGCTCGGTGATCACCTGGCCATCGTCCCCAGGACCCATGTTGCTGGTCTCTGCCTCACAGATACCCGACGTTACCAAAAGGGCGGCCACGTTCTGAAGCACAAAGCTCAAGATTGGGTCGTCGCGGGGCAGCTCGTTGCGCAGAATGCTCATGAGCTTTTCGGCATTGTCCTTGGGCATCTTCTTCCCGAACACCTCCGTCAGAGGGTAGGCCTTCAGGCCAAAATCAGACGGGTGTAGCTGGAACATTTCCATCTTGACCAGAGTGCGGGGGTTCTGGTCCTCGTCGCAGGAGCACTCGTCATCCTCGTTCTCCGGCTGCTTGTACGCGGCGTTGGGGTACTCCGACAGTCGCCAGCAGTTGGTTGTGCCAGCGCAGCTGATCTCATCCAGGTCCTCCGCGCCGCAGACAACCAACGCCTTCTTGCATCCGTTCTGGCGGAGCGCCTCCACGAAGACCGGTCCCAGGCTCTGGTAGGCCACGCCGACGACGCGGGCTTCGATGGCCCAATCAACAGGGTTGGCCAGGGGTCCCATGAGGTTGAAAATCGTCCGAAGACCCAGGCCACGTCGCACAGTGTCGGCGTACCGCATGCCGTGGTGGAAGTTGGGCGCAAACAGGAAGGAGTAATTGGTCGCGGCGTACACTTTGCTCAGGTTCTCGGCGGTGACGGCATCGATCTTCGGAGGGATTGGTGCCACGGCCTGCAGGACATCGGCGGACCCGGAGAAAGACGTCTGTGCCCGGTTGCCATGCTTCGCTGTGAGGAGAAGGGGAGAGGCAATGATGGAGGAGGTGGTCGAGATGTTGAAGGTGGAATGAGAGTCACCACCGGTTCCGACGATGTCACACTATAGCTCGAGAGGGGGGGGGGGGGGGGGACCGTCAGATAAGTCTACTGTGAGGAGCGATCGGATCACTAGGCATGACATACCAGACCACCTCTGTACTGTCCCTCCTTCTTACCGCGGGACTTCATAGCCGCCTTGAGAGCCGCCTTGTCCACCTGGACGGCAGCTTCTCTCATACGGTGGGAGCATTTGGCGATCACCTCTGCATCACGATCGAGTCCGGTGGAGTGCAAGAGCGTCAGAAGCGCGGCGGTTTGAATCTGCGAGAGCCCATCTTCGAAGATCAGCGCAAAAGCAGCAGCAATCTCGGCCGCGGAGACCTGAACCTCTGTAGCGGGGTAGGCGAGTCTCTTGAGGAGGGGTGAGATAGAGACCTGTCCCTGCTTGGTTTCCTGATGCGGAGCAGCCATTGTTCCTGACGAAGAAACCAAAATCACTAGCCAGGTATTATAGCTTTCTCCAAAGGTCGAGAATGGAAAATAAATTGAAATGCGAGGAGACAATGAAAGAGACCGAAGCAGAAAGAGTCATTCGGGCCCCTCCGGCGCTGCGCAAGCAAACTTGCAGAATCTCACCGCCCCCAGGTCCCGTCTAACCGCATCGGGACAACAAGATTTCGTGCCATATTTTCGCCAGTCCGCGCTCCTGCCCCAGACATTGTGATTGTCGCCGGCGTTATCAATTCCACCGGACTTGGAGATAGTTATTTGTCCCTTGGACCTACTTCCCCTACCGTGTCCGTCACTGCTTTTTCTTTCTTCACGCCCTCCGTCAACTCCCTCCCACCATTACAATGCCTCCCCGGATGCGTGTCTCCAGCGGCCGGCTCGCCCAGCCAGCCCGACGCCAAAGACTCTGCCAGTATGAGATGGCCATTGCAGCCCGATACGCCAGCACGGCGACGACCCCGGCCGCTTCCCACGAGCAGATGACCCGCTCGCACGTTCCGATCGCCCACTATCCCTCCTCGCAGCCCCCGTCATACCGCCGGCCGGAGTACCGCCGCTCGCAGCTCCTGCGCCAGTATACCTCGATGATCCGCACGGCGCCGCTGATGGTGTTCCTGCAGCACGACAACCTGCAGTCGGTGGAGTGGACGGCGATCCGGCGGGAGCTGAGCCACGCCATGCGCAAGGTGGACGAGAAGATCGCGTCGGAGGGCCGCGCCGCGCCCGCGCTGGCGCCGCACATCAAGGTGCAGATAGTGCAGACCCGGATCTTCGAGGTGGCGCTGCGCATCGTCGAGTACTTCCGGCCCAGCACCACGGCGGCGGCGGCCACGCCGGACGCCGTCGACCCCGTCACGCAGACCTCCGCCGAGATCCCGCTGGACCCGAGCCTGTTCACGCACGACCTGTCGCGCGCCGCCCACGACGCCGTCCTCGACCACAAGGGCCAGCACGAGATGGCGCCGCTCCTGGTCGGCCCCACCGCCGTCCTCACCATCCCCCAGGTCTCGCCGGAGCACCTGAAGGCCGCCCTCACCGTCCTGGCCCCCAAGGTCGTCGGCCTGCCCGCCCCGACCCGCAAGGCCAACCCGGGCTGGCACGAGATCCCCGTGCAGAACGGCCTGAGCAAGCTGTCGCTCATCGCCGCCCGCATGGACGGCCAGGTCATGGACGTCGAGCAGTCCAAGTGGGTCAGCAGCATCGAGGGCGGTATGGACGGTCTGCGGTCACAGCTGGTCACGGCGCTCCAGAGCATCGGCTCCAGCATCACCAACACCCTCGAGGGCGCGGGTAAGAGCTTGTACTTCACGCTGGAGAGCCGTCGGAGCGTCCTGGAGGAGGAGCAGAAGGGTCCCGAGGAGAAGAAGGATGAGTCCGCCTGAACGCGGCGGTGAATACAATGTGGCTTTTTCGGTGGGGGATTTCCCTTTCTTTTTTCTGTGTATAATAACACCCATGTGTAACCTTTTTTGTTTGTGTTTGTTCTCAACCCATTTTAGCATATGAGATCGATTAGAGATCGGAGTCTACTGCTCTAGGATACAATGACCTTTTTTTTGGACTTCGTTTTACTGCATGAACGTTGGCATTGCCTGCTTGAAGCTTTCGGAATAGGAGTAAATGGTATCTAAGTAAACGTCCACTATCAGATGGGTGTAATAATCATGCTACTTCAGGGAGATCCCCGCCCATCCTACCAATCATCCACCTGCGCCAGCCGCCTCTCCCTCACCCGGGCATTCATCCCTACAATACACCGCACCAGATCCCAGTCCCCATCCAAGCCCACCCAGTCGGTGACCAGGATGCCCGTAGACCAATCCCCATCCTCCCCGCTTCCATGCCGTCTACACAGGTAATCGACCGTAGCCGGATTCACCTTGGCCGCAATCTTCTCCGGCCACGTGCCGACCTTCCAAAAATTGCTGGCGCTGAGGAAATTGATATAGAAGGGATGGTCGCGGGTGGCCGACGAATCCGGCAACACGCCGAACGGATACACCGTACCGCCGGCGCGCTGGCACTGGTCGCGGACGTACTGGATCTTCTGGTCGATGTTCTGGGTGAGGAGGACCTCGTAGAAGTCCTGGATGCACAGCTGGCCGCTGGGGCAGGTGGCGTCGGCGCAGTTGTCGGCCCAGCCGCTGGCGTCGATGCCCCAGCCGTGGCCGTCATGGAGCTCCTTGAGGCTGTCCTGGATGTTGAAGCGGCGCAGCAGCACGACCTTGCCGCGGGCCTCGCCCAGGGTCGGAATCTTGGGCTCCGTGTACCACCGGCTGCCTTCTGCGGAGGTGTAGTGGTCGCTGAGGATGCGGCTGAGCTGTTCGTCGGTGTGGGTGCCCGGTCCCTCGCGCTTCAGCGAGATAATCACCGCCTCCGACGGGTTTTCCGACAGGAACTCCTCGACCTCGCGCATCAGGTCCCGGAAGTACTTGCTACCAGTAAGGGAAATGGGGAACACGCTGTGCACGAGGATCAGCTCGTCGCGGTCCGCATCGTCCGGGTACTGCGGTTGGACGCGGATGTCGAAGAACCGCACCCCGTTGCGCAGCTGCTCGCGCGGACTGACCGCTTGGCAGCGCACCGAGGGCGCCGCGACATGGCAGGTCGGCGAGTTGTGCGTGCCCGGGATGGAGAGCGAGGAGAGCAGCACGTCGCCGTCGAGCTCCCGCATCCAGGCTTCGAGGTGAGCGGACGAGAAGATGGTCAGATGCGACTCCGGGGTTATGAAGACGCCCGTGAGCCGGAACTTGGGGTCGTCGCTCATCGCCTTCATGGTGGCGGACTCGGTGGTCGGCACCGGGGTCTGGAGCTGGTGCTCCTCGCCCTCAACCTCGAAGATCCAGCGCAGGCGTTCCTTCTTCGAATCCAGGAACGCGCGGATCTCGGTGTGGACGGTCTGGAAGGGCGCGATCTCGAAGTCGGCTTCATTGTGGGTGAATGGCGTGGTGTCGTCGTGGATGGCGGCGACAGGTGTGGTGGCGCGAGTCACGTTGGTGAGCACGCGGGTGAAGTTCCTAGCGAAAGTTTGCACCCCTTCCAACGACCGCTCCGGCGCGCGGAACCGCTCGATGCGCTTGAGCCGGATTGGTGTTGATGTGACGTTGCGGATGGTGAGATGTTCGGCAACCATCTTGTAGTGTTCACTCGTGCATGAGAATTCGATCGGGATGAAGGATAGGCTGTTCTCAATCGATGTAGATGAGACGAAAGACCTAGGACACAAAGGGAAAATTTTTCTGCATCTAGGACCTAGGTCAAGAAACTTTCGGATAGGGCTGAAGCTGCGCACGAGTCAAAGAAATAATCTGTCGGTAGGCATCAGCCTTTCAGAATAACGATTGGGGCGCAGCTTATCATTGGCAGTGGCTAGCGCTGAAGGAGATCCCCAGCTGAACTTCAGCAGCAACTTATGGGCTCGGCGCCAATGGAAGGCAAGACTCGATCCACCACACCCGGAAACTTCAGGCATGCCAAGGGTCAGCAGTCCATTATCAAACATTCGGTCGATGTTTGGTCACCCCCGGGAAATCAGATCTTTTACAAGTGAGGTGTTGCCATGATAATGATCGACAAAGAAATGCGGAAGTCTGGTTCACAATCGTGCTCCACTGATATATTAAGCACGGACCGTAGTGGGGAAACATGGGTCCATGGACTCGCACTCGTCTTGGATGATGAGGTTCATATGATTATGAATGATTTTGGACGTGTCCCGTCGTTTCATGTGAGTAGATTCACGATGAACATTTGTCACGTATCGGTTTGGCTAGGCGATGTTATTGGCATGAAGCTGGGCAGGTTAATCGGCTGGAGAGGTAATGAGGGAAGGAAGTGAGTAAGAACGATCCGGCGGGTGAAATATGACAATGTCACTGATTGACGCACGCGTATGTCATGTACCGGACCGATTCTCTTATAAGACCAGGTATAAGTCTATCCTGCGAAATGGTATTTCTTCAATGGCATTTTACCGGTTGGTCTATCTCGATCACTCCCTCAATTATGCATGCTCCAGCGGAAAAACGCACGGCCCGGAGATAATGCGGAGATGCGGAGAAGGGTCACGTGCAATGACGCCGAGCGTCGGTTATCGTCGGCGAAGTCTCCGCGTTTACTTACTCCCCCAACACCCATCATGCGGCGGGGAAGCTGCCTGGGTTTCTTTCCCTGTGAACCATCTTCTTCCTTTCAGTGTGAGGACTGACTTCAGATCATTATCATGAACGTTCTACGGTGCAGTGGAAGCTTTTCCTGGGCTCTTCGCTCTGGTCAACGGTCGAAGGCCCTTCCGACCAAAACACTTACCATTCCTCGCCGGCAATTTCAAAGAGCTGCGCCCTTGTGGGGAGTGAAGTCCCAAGTATTGAAGGACGTCGGCGAGGGTATGCTCCCTTATCATCTCACTCGAAGCCTTTGAGACGTGGTTGTGCAACCCAGCTCGAATCGATTGTTTACCAACTTCTCCGCAGGGATAACGGAGGTCCAGATCATCCAATGGTACGTCGAGGAAGGGGCGCGTATCGAGGAATGGAAGCCACTCTGTCAATACCAATCTGATAAGGCAGTTGACGATGTGAGTTGATCGAATTAACGACCCTTATCTTGGCCTCATTCTGATTTTTGCAGATCACGTCAAGATACGAAGGCGTGGTCAAGAAGCTCCATTTTCAGGCCGATGACACCGTTCCCACAGGAAAGGTATGCTGCAGACGGACGCTTACAGATTTGAGTACTAAGTCATTCTGCACAGGCTCTCTGTGATATCGAGGTTGACGATGGGAAATACCCCGACGAGACTCCCCCGCCTAAACCCATCTCCGAACCTATCACAATAGCTCCGGAGCCAATAATCTCACAACCCACGCAACCACAACTTAAGCAAGCTCCTCAGCCCACACAATCACAAGTCGATCTTGGCACATCAAAATCACCCTATGCCACGCTCGCCACCCCCGCAGTCCGAGGGCTGCTGAAGACACTGAATGTCAACATCGAAGATGTACAAGGTACTGGAAAGGATGGCCGGGTAATGAAGGAGGATGTACAGCGGTTCGCTATGAGGCGAGACTCCGGAGTCGCCACAAAGCCTGCAGCGGTTGAGGAGCCACAAGCCGAGACGGCAGTCAAGTTAACGCCCATCCAGTCGCAGATGTTCAAGACAATGACCCGTTCTCTCACAATCCCTCATCTACTGTTCGCCGATGAGCTCAACATTAACGCTGTCAATTCCATGCGAAGGAAACTCGCCGCCGATACAAAGGACCCACGGAAGGTCACCTTTCTGTCGTTTGTTGTGAAGGCTGTGTCTCTTGCTCTCAACGAGTATCCCCTACTCAACGCAAGGGTTGACGCAACCAATCCAGATAAGCCACAGCTTATCATGCGCTCAAAGCATAATATCGGCATTGCAATGGACACTCCTCAAGGGCTGATTGTACCCAACATCAAAGATGTTGCCAATCGCTCTATCTTGGATGTTGCATCGGAGATAACTCGACTCAGTGCCTTGGGCAGGGAGGGTAAGATCACGCCGGCGGATCTCAACGGCGGTACTATCACCGTCTCTAACATCGGGAATATCGGAGGCACTTATGTTGCACCAGTGCTAGTCCCCACTGAAGTGGCGATTATGGGCATTGGAAAAGTTAGGACTCTGCCTGTCTTTGACGACGCTGGCCAGGTCACGAAAGGCGAACTCGTTAATTTCAGCTGGAGTGCCGATCATCGAGTGGTGGATGGCGCGACTATGGCGCGTATGGCTAACAGAGTGCGGGAGCTGGTTGAAAATCCGGAACAGATGCTGCTGAGTTTGCGGTAGCCTTATTCCGACACTTCGGACTGAGACGGAGGAAATTTGTATCTCTTCCAGACGACGGAATAGTCTCCTCGTCGACGACGAATTCCCTCTCATGGAAAATGCAGGGTCCAAGGAGCTCATGATACTGTGATAGTAATAATACTGGTGAAAGACCATATTACGCTACAACTTTACACATCTTTCTACGCCTTTTGCAAACACAACTTTAGCAATAGAACACAGTTGATTGTGAGTTGGCCTAACGACCGACTAACAGAAATAGCATATCTTGCTAACTACCTCAATTAAGGCTAGAGAAACCGGAGTAGTGATTAAAGATAGAACCCTTCTAATGAATGCCCGTCCTCCATGCAATATCCCAGTAAAGAATGTATCCATTGTTGTATAATGTGTAATTGTGCCTTATTGAAGAAGCGAGGGGAGATAACCTAAAAAACAAACCACCGTTGAGGGCGGCATGTCGAGCCACAATCGTCGAGACAAATGGCGGTACACTTTAAAGCTACTAAAGCAATAGCTATCAGTTCAACTCCCAATTGGTTGAAATATTCTTTCCAGCCTACAAAGACATCGCCAGGGCCATGAACAGCACTGGCAACCACGTGGGTAGAAACGAAGACATACTGGCAGGAGATCGACATACCTCCATTCTCTTCTCCAAGCTCATAGCTCCTGGGGGCCATCAAGAAGTCTGGACTCAAAGAGCCTCAGGGCACTACATTTACCTCGCAAAGCTGCCGTCTCCAGGACGACCTTTTGGAGCCATTGCCGGACCTGAACCCGTGTTCTCGTGTCGTCCGCAGGTATAGTGTAGGTGCATGTGGTAGCACTGACCTCGTCGCGGAGGGTCAAATGTTGTACGACTGTAACACAGACTCGGACCTTGATATAAACTCCCACCGTCACGGATGAATCGGTCTCATTGTCCTCGGATTCGAGGCACTTCGGATCACTGAGCTCTTCACTCCAGTGGCCAAAGCAGAAGACCCTATCGGCGGCGTTGGACAGTTCCTGATGGTCCCTCTTCAGCGACGCTTGCTGCTCGATACAATCCTCGACCCGCTCTGGTCTCATGTGTGGCATCGTTTAGGGCATTTCCTCGTAAGATGTTGTCGCGGTTTCGATCAACTTGTTGTCTTGGAATAAGGAGGGTTGGGAATTGTATGCTTAATTTATACTTGATAGCGGTTTTGAAGGGAGTTTTGCGTTGGGGATGAAGAGTTGGGAAGTTGAAAATCAATCGAATCGCGGCTTGTAGGTATGGTTTCCTTTGGATATAGTTAGAAGGAGAAGACTGGGGCATTAATTCTTTCCTGATTGAAAGACACCCTCTTATATCAAGCTAAATCTCTACACCAGTGACTGCGCTGACATGTTATTGTATCGTCTGATAGGAAAGTAGATCCGTGGGCACTTCAGTACGAATTATTTGCATACATCGACGTTTCAGGCATGCCGTGTCCAGGCTGTTCTGAGCACGGTATCTCCGTGGCTCTGTATACTTCAAAGTTAGGAAGAACCAAAGACACCAGATCGATGTGGCATATGTGACAGGCTGTTTCATTCGCGCGTCGGGTTGATACCTCAATGTGACCTTCGAACATTCCGTTTGTTGCTGGAAAGCTCGGTCATATAACAAGCACACATCAATGTAGACTAAGTAGATGAGTCTAGCAGTGCTACCCATGGGCACCATGCTCGTCAGACAGATACACATCTTTGCCATGGTGGTGTCATGGGAGGCGTCGATGTGCTCCATTATAGGCCATATACTCCGGCCAAAGAGCACGGCGCAGACAGCGTCAGACAGGCAAGCTTTGTACATAACATGATGGAACCGATGTGAATATTACAGCGCGATGCCCCTCGGCAATGGCCGAACCAATATTTTCCATTCCCGGTCCCTAGGGGGGGGGCAATGGTTTTCGGATATCTCTGCGCGGGGCATGATACCACGTTGGGTTACGCGACTCAATCAAGCTCAGAATCAGTATCAGGGCAAAAGTGACGCGAATCTCTATGCATCGGAGCCAGCTAAGTCTTGAAGCCCGGAAAGTGCATTATTTCGTGGCGTGGAACAGCTGGGGATGATGGCCTCGGGAGAGGCTACTCAAGCACGATCCCGGGCTATCTCAACTATGGTTCTCACCAGAGGTGGTGTTCACCTGGTTTTAGTAGCTCTTCGTTGAAGAGTCATATTTCGAGCCCCATAGAGTGTTAGTGGCGTGCCTTCCAAGCCAGGCAACGAGGCAACAACCACATCAGGCACTTAGATATGACCCGTGACCCAACCCGACAATCAAGGTTGACATAAAGTTAATTACATCAACAAAACTCCCGGCTCCTAGATTAAACCGGTGCATGTACAGCATATCATAATCACTTTATCTTTCTTGATGCCATCGCGTGGACCTTCCGACCCCCCTGGCCGGCCAGATGGAGGGAATCCCCGCTCTTTATCAGTGATGAGGCACGATAAGCGATAAGTCTTGCCAAGAACCTCCAACTGCTCCAACTTATCACGATAGAGCCACCAATCGCTATTGAGGAGCCAAGCAGGGAGCTAGACTGCTAGACTGCTAGACTCTTCTTCTGCGCGTGGACCTTCCCATGCTCAAGACTCACCCCACGGGGAAGGCGACCCACTGTCGCTATCTCGCCGGCGAGAGGTTCCCACGATAAGCCTAATCTCTTGTCGGGTCTCACGACACGGTAAGAGGCGAATATGCTATCTCGTACAGCCGACATGTCCTACCAACAGGACCTTAAATTGCCCTCCATGCCTCGGGTTTCTGGGGCTTCTTTCCTTTCAAGTTCCCCTTTCTTCTGAGCGATACCATACAGGCGGTAGGAGTCGTACAATTACTTGATCACAATGACCGACTCAAAAGCTGTTGTTCCACATACCCATGAGGACCCTCCTTCTACTGCCGTAGAAGGGACCAGCGAGCCCCTTCTCCCATGGTGGAAGCGAGTCTGGTGCCACAGTTTGACGCAGATGATTCTACTGAGCGTGCAAGCGTTCTGTGGACCTGCTATGTCGGACGCAATCACTGGTTAGAGCTCCTCAATGACATCCTGCTCTGTTATAGCATGCGCCGCTAATTCCTCACAGGCCTGGGTGGCGGTGGTCTTGCAAGTCCCCAGGTATCTAATATCTCCAACGCAATCAGATATGCCATGCTTGCAGTCGGTATGTTCCTCCTCTCAAGATACACTCCCTCCCCCCCCCCCCCCCCCATCAAGGAATGTCGAGTACACTAACGAAAAAATCCGCAACCTCGCAGTCTGCTTCCTGGGCGGTCCCATTGTCAACAAAATCGGCGTCAAATGGGCCCTTGTCATCGGTTCCTTGTCATTTCCCATCCAGGGCTCAGCATACTACTGCAATAGCAAGTTTGGAAACCAATGGTATCTCATCCTAAGTGGTGCTATCGGCGGCATTGGCACTGCTTGCTGGTATGTCGCCGAGGCTGGCGCCATCATGACTCTGGCGCCGTCTGGTGCCCGAGGAAAGTATCTAGCGTTGTGGATTGTGTCACGGAATTTGGGACAGTTGGTCGGAGGGGCGATCAAGTGAGTTCTTACCCACATTCTCAATTTATTGGTGATTGAGTCCTGACTGGAGGTTCTCTGCACAGCTTGGCGAAGAATAGTAAGGATGGAGCGGATGGTGGAGTGACCCCTGACACTTTCATTGCATTTGTGATCATTGAGTGCATTGCGTGAGTTCTCGGCCACTCTAATCTACTTGCAAAGATGAAGCTAACACAAGCTCGAAGCCTACCATTCGCTCTATTGATCATTCCCTTCGAACATGTTGTCCGCTCCGATGGCACTAGAATTGTGACAGCAGAGACACTCTCCAGTCGAATGGAACTTCGACGCATTGCGAAGACCATTACCTCCAAGCTCATCATGCTTTCCGCCCTCTGGGCTTTGTGGTCGTTCTTTTACTCGTAAGCAACAATCTTAACCACTCCAGATGAACCAACCGACCAGAATTTGACTGTGATAATAGAGGATCTTGGAGCACCTATCTGGCCGACTACTTTTCCGTCCGCGCCCGCGCCCTCTCCTCCCTGATTTCGCCTTTCTTCTGCATGTAGGTCTTTCAGACCGTTAAAATCTCGTCACATCATCCAAACCCTAACCGTAATCTAGTATTGGCTGCTTTGGTCTCGGATTCATCCTCGACATGAAGGGCATGAGCCAGCGCCGCCGCGCCCAGATCGGTCTCTACACCGTCGTCATCCTCAACATCGGCGTGTACATCTGGTCCATCATCATGCAGGTGAAATTCGACCGTCACGACCCCGGTAACATCGACTGGAACGATGGCCTGTACGCCACGTCCTTCCTGCCCTACTTCTTCGTACAGACGACGGGCCCCCTGTCCCAGTCGTACATGTACTGGTTGCTCTCATCCTTTGCAACGGATGCGCAAGGTAACTTCACCTGCTACACTCTTTCAGACTTAGGTCATGTTTACTGACGAGCTTCTAGAAAACGTCCGCAACGGCGCAGCATTCCGGTGTATTGAGGCTATTGGCCAAGCCATCGCCTATGGCATGAACACTCAGACGTCGAGTAGTCCACTTGTTGGCTTGTACGTATAATTCCTTTTCCTCAGTCCTATGGTCCATCTTCTCTCAATGGCTCAGGCGATAACTGATTTCTTCCAGCTGCGTGACGTTCGGCCTCCTGGGCGCTGCCTTACTACCCATGATCATGCTAGTCAACACAACGCCCGACCAGATCCCCGCCGATGTGATTGCCGAGGAGCAGAATGCTGCAAATGCAAAGCTTCCGGTGGAGGAGCCTTAGGCTCAAGCTCTTGGCCTGAGAAGCTCAGCGTCAGCCCTAGACGAGCTGGCTCTGGTTAATGTGCTTCCCTGGATTATGATTACTGCACATAGATTTCTGCATACCCAAGCCCTGGCACTAGGCGTTTCGTGATTCATGATGTATATGTATTTATCTACGATTCAAGTTTGTATATGAAGTTCTTTATCCCTTTTTTTTAACTGGACAAATCGAATGATCTTGAGCATTGGCGAGTAAATTTGAGATAAATGGAATGACAGGCGGATTTCACTAGCTGTAGAAGGATTCTTATATCTCAAGAGTTGGGATTAAATTCGGCATCTGTGAAATGTGTCAACTTGTCCATTTTATTTTTGGTATACAGTACAAATTCAGGAGTGTAGGCACAGTATGTACTTGGGGACGTTGCAGCCTGAGGCCACGATTGCTCCAGGGAAGGAGCTGACTCTCGTTCTCACTTGAACCCTTTAGACACTTCGTCTTCGTCTTCAACCTCTCCCGCTCCATTTCCCTCGTTATCCCAACCACCCTTTCCTCTATCTATCATCTGAACACCCGTTCCCTCTCTAATTCCTGGTTTCTTAAGTCTCTTTTGAACTTCTGTATCTCGGCTGTTGAAATAACTCACGTTGAAGCACGGGCAACAAGGGGAGGACTTGCATGCGTGATATACTCTTAACAAGCATTCATCAGCCTCGACGAATCGTTACTACGTTCTACGAATAGTTTCATCAAGACTCTCAAATGAGAGAAGAAAGAAGGCATACCACCTACACGACAGAGCTCACTGCTCATGATGGAGGCTAAAGTTTCGCCCACGAGAGAATTATGCGAAGGGGAAGCATACATGCCATCAAGTTGTCCCGATACAATCATGCCAAACGTTGTGTGACCGCATTGTGCTGACCTGAGTCAAGTAGCGCACCGGCCCGGACCTATCTTACACTCCGGGAACACCAGGTCATTGGCTATGGAAACCTCCAGTCGTCCTGCTTCGATCTTCTCGCTTCGTAAATCGATATCCGGCACATGAATCGCTCTTATTTAGTAATCCTCCTGAATCTACACAGTGATTAGCACCCCACAACACGCCCGAATATGGAGACACCGTCGGCCAAGCAGTCGAAATCCCTCGCAATCATTGGTTTGGCAGCCAAATACGCTCAAGGAGCGACAGATGTCAACCGATTCTGGGACTTTCTTTTGGAAGCTCGAGAGGCAACGACGAGCTATCCAAAAGACAGACTGAACCACGAGGGATTTTATCACCCGGATCCCGAACATGCTGGAACGGTGGGCACGCTTATAGATCTTTAATGCCAGTCTTGATGGCGTTCATCTAATTCTGGAACCGAATAGACCCACACTCGACAGGCACAGTTTCTCTCTGAGAATCCCAATGCCTTCGATGCTGCCTTCTTCTCGATCAGCAAGACCGAGGCTGAAAGTCTTGATCCCCAGCAACGGCTCGTTATGGAAAATGTCTATCACGCCCTTGAGAATGGTGCGTGTAGAGTGCGGCATTTCACTATTGAGCTAGATTCTTCCTAACTGAATTCTAGCCGGGCTCCCGATGAGCAAGTTCGTATCGTCCAACACTTCTGTCTTTGCGGCTGGCTTTAACCATGATCATCGTGATCGACTGAGCACCGATCCAGACATAGCCTTAAAACATCAGCCCACAGGGGCTGAGAGCTCCATGATTTCAGGTCGAGTTAGCTGGTTCTATGACTTCAAGGGCCCCAGCCTGACCATAGAGACTGCGTGCTCCAGCTCGATGGTTGCTTTCCACTTGGCTGCCCAAAGTCTACACGCCGGAGAAAGTGATATGGTAGGTAGTCTCGACGCTCACGACTCAAATGCTGAGCTCATCCAAAACCTCATATGTTTAGGCAATTGTCAGCGGGGCAAATGTGTGCAGCTCATTCCATCATATCCTTAGCATGGGATACTCGGGATTCTTCAGTGCGGAAGGGAGGTGTTTTACATTCGACCATCGAGCTAATGGATACTCTCGGGGCGAAGGCGTAGGAACCGTCATCCTGAAGGATCTGGAAAAGGCACTTGGCGATGGTGATACCATTCGCGCCGTGGTTCTCTCCACAGCCCTGGATCATGATGGCCGAACCCCAGGTCTCACTCGCCCTAGTGGAGACGCCCAGGTGCTTCTGATTCAGAATGCATACCGCTCCTGTGGTCTAGACCCCAGGGAAACTTCTTTCGTTGAGGCGCACGGGGCAGGTACGCCTGTTGGGGATCCAATTGAGGTTGAGTCTCTGGCGAAGGCTTTTCAAAGTGCCAAGCGAGACCAACCTCTCTATGTCGGCGCTGTGAAGTCCAATATTGGTCACTTGGAGGGTAGCTCTGGGCTTGCGGGTATCATAAAAGCTGTCTTGGTTCTGGAAGCTGGTCTCATTCCCCCGAATGTCAACTTCGAGAAAGTGAATCCCCGAATAAATAACGACGAGTGGAATATCCGCTTTCCACTCAAAGTCACACCATGGCCGAGAACTGGGCCACGACGGGCTTCTGTCAACTGTTTCGGTATTAGCGGCACGAATGGCCACTGTATAATGGAGGATGCTCACAGTTACCTCAAGCGAAAAGGTTTGGTGGGGCGCCATAACACCCGGTTAGTCGTTTCTCCTTCCAATGGGCTTGAGCAGAAGAGGGGCGAAGATGGGCCACCAAGCCGTTTAGACACAAAAAGCCAGCGGGAAAACGATCTGACCGTCAAATTGCTCCTATTTTCTGGCTTTGATGAAGGTGCCCCTCGTCGTGCTGCTGAACAACTATTGTCCTATCTGGAAGCCAGGCAAGAAGTCAGCGATAGTTCATTGTTGGACATCGCGTACACGCTTTCTGAGCGGCGTTCTCGACTTCGCTGGAATAGTTATATACTAGCTACATCATGCGAAGATTTGAGGATGCAGCTCGCGACTGGACGAGGCCTCTCACAGTCTCAATATGGCCAGAAGCCACGTCGAGTGGGGTTCGTTTTCACCGGACAGGGCACGCAGGATCCTCGGATGCCTCAACAAATGCTCCGGTATCCTGTATTCCAGCAGTCACTCGCGGCTGCATCAGCATATTTACAACGAAAAGGTTGCCCAGCTCCAATGATAGGTAAGGATCGCAATGTGTCTTCATGTGCTGAATCATGACTGAACTGAGAAACACGCGTAGAGTCAATATGCGGCGCGAGTGAGTATCCAAACATCAATCTCGCTGAGATTTCGCACATTTCATACACTGTAATACAAGTTGCATTGGTGGATCTGCTAGCAAGCTGGGGCATTCAACCTGATCGAGTTGTGGGTCATTCATCTGGTGAGATTGCAGCAGCCTACTGTGCAGGAAAGATCCCTCGGGAAGCGGCGTGGGATGCTGCTTACCATCGTGGACGCTTGCCTATGCAGATTCTGGGTAGACCAAAGGGAGCAATGTTAGCCGTTGGCCTTGACAGTGCTACCCTACTCGCACACGTGGAGAAGATTCGTCGCATGGTACCCGGGGAACTTGTTATCGCATGCTACAACAGTCCCAGAAATAACACGGTCTCAGGGGATGAGAACCTGGTGTTGGCATTGGAGGAGAGATTGAGCACAGAATCGGTTTTCATGCGTCGTCTCAGAGCTCCAAACGCCTACCATTCTCCGCGCATGAAAGACATTGCGGATGAGTATGAGGCTGCCCTAGACAATGTGTCCGGGGAGGCAGACTATAACTATAGGACATCTGGGGATCACACCATTCGCATGTTCTCGAGCAGCACTGGCAAGGAGGTTTTGAAACCCCTACTGGACAAAACTTACTGGGTCAACAGCCTAGTTTCCACTGTTGACTTTGCTGGGGCATTGGGACGTATGTGCTTTGAGGATGGCCACGGCACAGTCGACTATCTGATTGAGATTGGGCCTCATGGTGCCCTTCAGAGCGCAATCAAAGACACTCTAGCTGACGAGGGTTCCATCTCCTATCGAATGATACTTAACCGCATGGACTCCTCAACAAGAACAATACTGAACACCGTCGGTCATCTTGTCGCTGGGGGTGCAAATGTCAATTTGTCTGAAGTGAACAGCTGCTTGCAATCGGGTTCCGGGAGCCCTGTATTGGCGGTTGACCTGCCTCCGTACCCCTTCAATCACTCTGAGAAAAGTCTCTATGAGAGCCGCTTAACTCGAGCGCTACGATTCAGGAAGTTCCCGCGACATGAGCTACTTGGCGCTCCGATTCCGGACTCGAACTGCTTGCACCAAAGTTGGAAGCACTACCTGCGAGTGAGCGAAAATCCGTGGTTACGGGATCATATGGTAAGCAATACTGGTACCCATCATTACCCAACGTTCAGTCTTTGACCAAGTCAGATCTCGGGAAAGATCGTCTTTCCTGGTGCCGGATATCTCGTGATGGCAATAGAGGCCATCCGACAAGTGTGGGATGGGACCACTCAGGCCGGGTTTCGTATTCGAGATGTGAATCTGAAGGCGATTCTGATTGTTCCTGTTGATAACTACGGCATTGAAACTTGTTTCTCCATGTGCCCGGCGGAAGAGTCGAATTTGTCAAATTCAACAGTCTGGAACCGGTTCTCAGTAAGCTCATACAGTTTTGATCTTGATGAATGGACTGAGCACTGCACTGGGTTTATCGCCGGAGACGTTGCTCTCTCTCCCAACCCCGTCACCAATGGGCGCGAAGCTGCGATCGACCGCAAAGCCTGGATTAAGACTCAAGACCAAGCATCTGCTTGTCAGACATCAATGGAGTTTAATAGGGTCTATGACAATCTTGACTCTGTCGGCTTTCGGCTTGGTCCCTCATTCCGAAATCTCTCGTCTGTGAAGACGGGAGGAATCAAAGGGGGCGTTATGTCCGGAAGAATCACCATTCCTGATGTTGCAGCGGCTATGCCTAAGGGATTTGCTCGTCCACATCTCATACACCCGACTACACTTGACAATGCTTTGCAAGCGGGGTTCGCTGCGATCTGCGATCTCACCGGCACTATCACTTTCAGAAACAGCCTTGTCCCTAGCTTCATAAAACGCGTTTGGGTATCAGCAAAAGTCCAACATCAAGGCAGTCTCAGTTGCTATGCAAAAGCATGTTATTTTACGCATGACGCCTATACTGTTGATACACGTGCGTGGAGTGCTTCAAACACCGGTGGACTCCTGTCTTTCAGCGGTGTTCGTTTCTCTCCTCTCCAGACTCAGGCTGCCGGGCGAATTGACAATCAAATTTGTTGTTCCATGCAGTGGCGCAACGATGCAAATTTTATCTCCACTTCATCCATCAACACACTGGAAGAGGAACAAACTGAATATGACGCAGAGCGGGTATGGTTTACTGAGCTGCAATTAGCGGCTGCACTGTTGGCTAGCAACGCATTGTCTGAGTTGGAGGGGTATCACTTTCCAGCCACGGCCCCACAGCACTATATCAGATGTTATGCATACCTGAGAAAACTGGCTCAAGACACAGCTAAGGGGTTGCTCCCCGAGGTGAGCCCGGATGAGTGGCAAAAGTATTCACAGAACCACGAGATGAGCAGGGCCCTACTTGTACGTGTCGCTACGCGTGACATCACCGGGGAACTTCTGTTTCGCATAGGCACGCAGGTGGCATCAATTCTCAAACAGAAATGCGATCCTCTGTACCTCATGTTTGGACAAGATGACCTCATGACCAAGTACTATGACTCGGTCATGGAGACCGGCCCCTTCCCGACTCGCTTCGCTCAGCTTATGTCCACGTTTCATCATACCTACTCTGATATGAGGGTCCTTGAAATTGGCGCTGGCACCGGCAGTCTCACCAGTCTAATCTTGCGGCTTTTGTGCCCCGTGGGAGAGCATAGGGAGTTCCGCAATAACTGTGTCGCGGAGTACGATTATACCGATCTGTCATCCAGCTTTTTTGAGAGGGCCAAGTCTCGCTTCGCAGCCTGGGGACACATACTCCGGTACAAAGTATTGGATATTAGCGTGGATCCTCTCACACAAGGATTTGCGCGAGAATCGTACGACATGGTTATTGCTAGCAACGTTCTTCATGCCACGCCGGATATCCTCCAGACTATGAAACATGCTCGGTCGTTGCTGAAACCTGGCGGCAGGATGATTACTCTGGAGGGTGCGCGTCAGGACACCGCGTATATCAATATCATTTTCAGCACATTGGCTGGATGGTGGTCAGCAACGGAACTATTCCGGCAATGGTGTCCCTACGTTCCAGCCGACAAGTGGGAGAAAGTGATTTCCCAGTCGGGATTTTCAGGTGTGGATATCGAGATCCCCAGCTCTCAGTACCCTGAATTCAAGCAACTCAATCTCATGGTATCGACGGCATTGGTACCAGTACCTGCCAGTGATCGTGTGGTTGTGATTGTAATCGCAGAGAATCAGGACGAAAATCTTGCTCAAGCTCTGCAAGCTCGGCTCATGAGCATAGGGGCTGAGCATTGTTCTATCGAGCGCCTCCAATCCCTAGATAGCAAATCTTTGCGGGACGTTGTTTGCATTTCCCTTTTGGAGCTCCATTGCCTACTATTGTATGACATGGATGAAGCCAACTTCGACCGCGTTAAGCACTTATTGACCACCTGCGACCGCATTCAGTGGGTCACCGGATGTGAAGACCCGAGACAGACTCTGGCGGTTGGTCTTATTCGCACGGTCCGAATAGAACGTGCTGCAGACAATCTGAATTTAGTCACTGTGGCGGTCGACTTTGTAAAAAGTTCGGCAGAAGACGTGGTTAACGGGGTCGCGCGGATATTCTCGCATCAATATCTACATGGTAATTGCACGGGGAGCTACCATCACAACGCGGAGTATCTACTTCATGGGCCACAGATTCAGACAGCCCGGATCGTCGAGAACGACGAGGCAACGCATTCGATAAACGCTCAGTGGAAAGACCCGGAAATTGAATCCACAGGGTGGAATTCGTTGCAACGGCCGGTAAGGCTTCAGATTGGACGGCCAGGAGCACTTGACAGTTTACACTGGGTGTCAGACACAGATGTGTCACGTCCGCTGGGGCCAACGGAAGTTGAGACCCGCGTGTGTGCGGTGGGGTTGAACTTCAGGGACCTACTCGTAGTGATGGGAGAGCTTCCGGAAGTGACCATTGGTGTTGAGGCTGCTGGTATCGTGACCCGAGTAGGGTCAGCCGTTAGCGGGCAGCTACAGGTTGGAGATCGAGTGGCATATCTCGACTACGGGTCCAACTTTGGTGCATTACGAACATTGGGACGAATTGAGCAGGACCTCGTGGTACGTGTCCCAGCAGCCTTGCGCATTGAAGAGGCTGCTAGTATGCCAGTCATATGGACCACAGTTCTGTATGCCTTGAAGAAGGTTGCCCAGTTGGGGCCTGGTGAGTCAATTCTGATCCATGCGGCTGCAGGTGGAGTTGGACAGGCGGCCATACAGTACTCTCAGATGGTTGGAGCTGAAATCTTCGCCACTGTGTCAACAGTCGAGAAGAAGACGGTCCTGGTTAGCAAGTACGGGATTCCGGCGGACCACATCTTCTTCACCCGAGACCTAGCTTTCGTAAGTGGGATCCGTCAGCTGGCACCAGAAGGGGTGGATGTTATCCTCAACTCACTGTCTGGGGAGGCTCTGCACGAGTCCTGGGGCTGTCTTGCGCCGTTGGGGCGCTTTATCGAAGTTGGCAAGCGGGATATCCGAGCTGGTGGAAAGCTAGACATGGGCCCCTTCTCCAACAACAAAATGTTTGTTGGAGTAGATGCGCTTAAGCTGGCAAAGCATTGCCCCAGACTTGTGAGCAACCTCTTACATGAGCTCATGCAACTGTGGCAGGATGGAAAAATCCATCCACCAGAGCCGGTGACGTTCGTGCCATACGGGCAGATACAACCCGCCTTACGATCTCTTCAGACGGGCCAGAATATGGGCAAGATCGTCTGCGTTCCGCAGCAGACTGACGAGATTCCTTGTGCTCCTGATCCCCCAGCGGCGTATTCTCTTGACCCGAATGCTGCCTACATCTTGGCGGGTGGAATGGGGGGAATCGGCTGTAGTATCGCCCATTGGATGGTTATGCGAAGAGCGAGGCATTTAATCTTCCTCAGCCGGACCCCTCAACTGCACACCGCCGGGCAGGCCACGGTATCCACCTTGGAGGCCAAGGGCTGCCGGGTCCAGGTGATCTGCTGTGATATTTCGAACGCCGAGAGAACCCATACCGTTCTCCGAGATATCCAAGGTCCAAACGGTGCTTCGATTCGGGGATGCATAATCTGCGCACTGGCGTTAGCGGACAGTGCGCTCGAGAAAATGAGCCACCGTCAATGGCAGGAGCCCCTCAAAGCCAAGGTGCAGGGGTCCTGGAATCTTCACCAACTTCTCTCATCTGACAATCTTCAGTTCTTCGTTATGCTCTCTTCGATATCAGGCGTGGTTGGAAATCGCGGTCAAGCAAACTACAACGCCGGAAACACCTTTCAAGATGCACTGGCCCGGCTACGTGTGTCTCAGGGTCTCCCGGGCGTGAGCATTGACCTCGGCGCCGTCGACTCGGTGGGGTTCTATGCCGAACATCGAGAGTCTCTCCGTCACAGCTTCAGAGCTGTTACCGTGCATCGCGAGGATCAGATGTTGGCCATCATTGAACACGCACTGGACCCACGGTTGAAGCGAACTCCGGCGACCTGTCAGCTCATTTGCGGGTTAGCCACTAGATCCGCGTACGAGCAACGTGGTATCCCCATTCCGCCCCATCTGCAACATCCATTGTTCATGAATCTGCGGGATCACGTGTCTTCAGTCGGGCCGCCGACAGGCTCGATCAAGCAACATGATGTGCAGACTCTACTAGCCACCGCTCAGAACGAGGAAGCTGCCATAGAGGTGGTGCTGGTGGGAATCCAGAAAAAGCTGTCCTCGATACTGAGCATTGCCGAAGACGAGATTGACCCGTCGCGCTCGGTGCGGGAGAACGGGGTGGACTCGCTCATCGAGATGGAATTTCGGACCTGGGTGTCCAGGGACTTGGGGATGACCTTAGACAAGGCCGACTTTAATATGAAGAGTCTACAGGAGTTGAGTGTTGAGGTGGCTAGATTTAGCTCCTTGACACATTACAAATAAAGGGTGAGTCAATTGTCTCTGTACTCTACGGTAGCGATAATTGATTGGTTGGATCTCGCGCCACCTGTATTCAGCATGAATAGGACCTGGGATAGACGGTGCACGTAGATCTATCTGTTCTTCTGCCTTGCGCGCAGTCACGCTGATTCGTATGAATACTTTCCCAGAGCTATGTTCTTCTCGACAGGCCTAATATAAAGTTCAAATCAAGCTTCAATGCCCGAATTGGATTGCTTCTAGTTTCCCTTGGCTCTTTCAGGCTGATCTAGTCTTATCCTCAACGACGTCTTCGGTGCTTACGGCATGCATAGCCCTAGATTCAAAACCAACGTTCCGTAGTCAGTTGACTGGCAAGTCCATCTGGCTCCAGTATTAAAAGTAGCTAAAGTATACCGCTTGTGAATAGGACCTCGTGGATATTTCAGCAAAAGACGTTTCTGTGAATGCAGAGCTCCCTTCTCCGGTCAGGTTCCTCCCTCACTAAAGTACCTATTAACTTAGATATACTATAAGTCTATCTAGCTCCTAGTATCTAAATTAATCAAACTCCTTGTGAATATAGCTTCGTAGACATTCAAGCAAGAGATGTTTCGGTTAATGTCAAGCCCTTTTCTCTGGGCAAGCTCCTGTCTAGTTAGTTCTTAGATATCCTCTTTCCCTTCTTTCTACACACTCTCCTTCCCACATACTTACTGCATCTGGGAATTCTTGAAAATTTCTCTGAGATATTACACATCATCCTGTTCTTCCTACAGTGCCAGCGAATACTCTCAAGCTTTCGGATCGGAAAGGCTTAGTTCGCAAAAAGCCGACGAACACGTCGTCAACTGCAGCTTGACAACTTTCCTCGACATCATCACGCACCTGAGCCCCAATGTGCAGAGATGGTGGTCACCTAAGGCACAACCGGTTCTGCACCATTTGGCTTACCGTCGGCGGCCAGAAAAAGGCGCTTCACAGCAGCCGGAGCCGGAGCCCTTGCGGATACTCTTATAGCAGACACAAAAGCACTGGTAGAGTGCAAGGTCAAGCTTCGAGGCTCATGTGAAGACAAATCAGGATGCAAAAAACCTCCGGAATGGTAGTCCTGGTGAAGCCATTCTCCGATACCAAATTCCATGCTGGCTTGCGCCTACAAGTTGGAACCCACGAACGGTCAATGATGTCGCTGACAATGTGACTTGGCCGGGCACCTGTCTCGAAGAATGCCGATGAAGTATATGTCTTGTTCCTGGAGTATGGACCGAGCCATCTCAAGCGGAGTGGCACTGTCGGTGATCCGTTCGCGAACGACAACCCTCATTGGCCTGTTCTGTGAGAAAGAAGTGAAGCATACGAAGCTGCTCGGACGGATCATATTCCTTGGGCGATCTCCCTAGGCAGTTGACGTCCTATCTGATCCTCGCCCCAATGCACCGCTGTATGTTTTCCACTTATCTACAAGAGAGGTAGTAACAAAGTGATGGCGGTGGACAGAGAGAAAGCACGAGAAGGAAAGTTGTATATCGATCATAATTGTGGACTTTCTTGATGGAATTGAATTTTTTGATAGATAGATGCATTTGATGAATCACATTGGTATAATTTTCTTAAATTAGGGTTCGCCTTTGGGAAAATCTCCATGATAGCACCGAGTATAGCAAGTATTCGACCCCACATGACCCGACCATGGTAGCAAGCATAGCCAACCCCAGGTACACAATTGCTTGCTTTGCTTTACCACTGCGTAGGGCAGGATTGTAGATCCGTTGAGGTCAAGAACACTGGCAGTCATTTCACATCTCACATGTTTCATTTCCTTCTTTTGGCCCTCTTCCTCCTGTTTCTCTCTGACATCCATCAAAAGCTCGTTAACCATCACCCACGACCCTTACAATAGCCTCCTCGTCTCCCTCAGGCCACCGACTCCGTGTCCGCAACCAGCGCACAAGAATCCAGCTTGACAAGCTCCTCCAGCGCCTCCTCGACATCCAGCCCGCAATCCCAGCGGACGGACACGTGAACCTGCAAGGAGACAGTGACATCCGCCACATCACGCAATACGATTAGAGCTAGACCAACCCTCATGGTCAGCCTCTACCCCGAGGTCCCATTCCAGCCCCAGGTCGACCTCATCCGACAGATCCGCACGGAGACCGTGCCCCTGTCCCGACCATTCCCGGACCTTTCACCTCCCCCCGCGACAGCGAGAATCGATATTGAAGACCACACCCTCATCTGCTGCGACTTTAGCTCCGACTACGCGCGGGGGCATCTTCGATCTAGATACGGAGTGATGAAAGTGACGGCGGGAACTTGGTCGGAACAGCTTCAAGCTTTTCCCCATTCGTCAGACAAATGGCGGGATCGAGACCAATAAAGAAGCGGGGGAAAATGCTCGGGAGGCTCCACTCACCGCCCGCCGCTTCAAACCCCAGCCTCTTTTCCTCCCCGCCCAGATTAAAGCAGCGTTCTTCGCCTGCCCTTCCATCTAGATCGAATCCACTGTTTCTATACATTATAGGATAATATACGAGCTGGCTACTTTATGATTATGGATAATTCTCTCTGCATCTCTTTTAGTGATCTACACCACTCCGCTTCACATTCAACCTACCTAGCACCCTCCCTTCCCTCTGTCGCTGCAGACGCATCCACCCTAGCTGCATCACAACCATCGCATCAACAACAACAACAACAACAACACCACCACCAATTCCCCTCTCCCAACCCGAACTTCCATCAGAACCACCACCAGCAAACCAAGCATCTCCAGCCCTTCGTTTCAGCAGGAAACTTACCCATCTCCCCGAGACGCTCCACCTCCACCTCCACCCAGCTCCCCCAACCTCAATCCCAACTCCACACGCAATGCCAGCCCCTCGACATCCGCACCATCCTCAGTCCTCCCGACCTCGACCTCTGGCGCACGCGCCTCTTCAACATCGATGAAATGATCGTCCTTAGTGAGGAACAGTGCGTTTGATCCCTCTTTATGTCCCCCTCCCGGCGCATCTGCCAGAGAGAGCCCACGCCCCCCCCCCCAATCTCCATGCTAAATCCCCAAGGACGGTGGGCAGATTCCTCACTTACTTCCCGCACATCGACAACGTCTACTCCCACCGCTCAACGCAGCACTACAAGCGCAAGCCCCTCGTCTCGCACTACTGGGACTGCCGGCTCAAGGGCCGCCCGCCGGGCACGCCCAAGTCCACCGACCCCAACAAGAAGAAGCGGAAGCGCACGGCCCGCGAGCGGGATCTGTGCGATGTCAAGATCAAGATCACGGAGTACTTTCCTTGGTCGGTTGAGCAGGAGAGTGATGGGCGGGTGGGGGAGGGGGAGGGGGAGGATGGGGAGGAAGGGGAGGGTTTGTCGGTGGGGGAGGGGGGTGGTGGTTCTGCTGCTGCTACTGGCAGCAATAGTGCCGCTGAGCGGATGGAGGGAGTCTCCGGGTCCAATTACATTCATCCGCTCGGGATGCCAACGCCGAATCTGAATGTGCTGTTGCCCGAGGGGCATCCGGGATTGCAGGGGCAGCGGTTCTTTACTATCCAGAGGGTGAATGGGAATGGGGGGAATGGGAAGAATGATGGGGTTACGGGGGGCCATCGGCATACGCTGGAAGAGAGTGATCGCGTGAAGAAGAATAGTGTGCAGCGGTTTCTCTTGAAGGAGGCAAGGCAAGAGAGGAAGAAGGCGGTCTCGGTAAGTTTCGAGATGCCTTTTTATTTGTCTCTATGTTCTACTACTGTCGGTGGGCGGTGGTGTTGATGGAAGGGGCGGGGGTTACGTCACTGGTGCGGCGGGCTGAACCTGACCACCGCACGCAATTCCCCGCTTCCCCTTCTCTTCTTTCTCCATCATTTTTTCCATCTTGCGTTATGTTCCTTCGATCTTTCTGGCAGACGAGTCCTTGTTTGTGGAATAGCCTGACGTGCCGAACTCAATCGGCAATTGCACACGCTCCATCAGCATATCTCCGTTCTAACGCCGGCCGCCTACAGACGCGAACCATGTCTACCCAGAACCAACCACAGAAGTCGTACCACACCAAAGCTACCGGGCTCGCGGCCAAGACTGTTGCCGATCACTCTGAAGACAACGATCTGAAGTTGTTTGGCAGTTGCTTTTGGTGAGACGGTTCGCGCTAACCTGCCTGGTAAAGTTGCTGACCATCTTCTGCAGTCCATTTGTCCAGCGCGTGTGGATCGCTCTGCAATTCAAGGGCATTCCGTACCAGTATATCGAAGTCGACCCTTACAAGAAGCCCCAATCCCTGCTCGAAGTCAACCCTAGGGGCCTGGTTCCTGCCTTGCGCCACGGGGACTGGAGTTCGCATGAGAGCACCGTGTTGCTCGAATACGTAAGTGATCGGCTTCAGACATCGCCGGTCCTTTCTGACACGCCTCTAGTTGGAAGACTTGAACGCCGGCCCTCCGCTCCTGCCTCCAGGGGACCCAAAATTGCGAGCGCATTGTCGACTGTGGGCTGATTATGTATGTGCCAAAGTCCAAAATGAGAACATGCCACCTAACCAAGACAGGTAAATCGCCACATTGTGCCCACGTTCTACCGTGTTCTCCAAGAACAGGATCAGGAGAAACAGATCTCGCATGCAGAAGAACTACGTGACTCGTTCAACACTCTGGTTGGCGCGGCTCATACCGAAGGGCCGTTCTTTCTGGGCGACAAACTTTCCTTTGTCGACGTACAGGTTGCGCCTTGGATCATCCGGCTCCGACGGGTGCTGAAGCCGTATCGCGGCTGGCCAGACCCGGAAGCTGGTAGCAGATGGGGTGCGTGGGTAGACGCGATCGAGAACGACCCCCACGTTGCGGCGACCACGAGCGATGATGGGCTTTATCTGGATAGCTATGAGCGATACGCGGGTAAGTATTCGTACCCCGTTCAGGCTGATGAGGCGCTAACACCTCCAGAAAACCGGCCCAACACATCGCAGTTGGCCAACGCGATAAATTCTGGGCGAGGGCTCCCGTAGTATGCGGTGGATCTCTTCG